CTGTAGCAAATTGAATTTATTTGGTGGCAATTCTAACTCGCACTTGGACTGATGATCATTTTTGTATTGTTTTCGTTAAATTATGACAGCACATGCTGAATTCGCACGCTTTTCATTCATTCGGTAATGCATTAGCCCGTCCACGTGGAAACGGGCACCCTTTCGGAATTAACAAAGTGCACTAAACTAATTGAAGTAATTTCGACGTGTTAACCGACGATTCCTGCTACCTGGACAAGGCCCTGCTGCTTCGGATGTTGGAAATTGGAGGCAGTCTGTTATTTGATTTCCCCACATCCACATCCCAATCCCCAGGGAAGAGATAGAGCGGTGGAGAAGTCGGAACAATAAGGCATTCTGTCAGATGTGGAAGTACTTCCCCCATTCGCAGGGCTGTCTGGTGGCAATTACTTAATTACATTTCATGCTTTTGTTTCTGCAGCCACAGCGTTTTTAAACAAATGAAACCGCTCTGCTGGGGAAAACTTGCAAGCTGTTAATTTACATGTTTGCACTCAATGCGCAAATTTGTCTCACGTTTATCAGATTGCTGCCTCTTTTGGAGGAACACCCCTACAGTCGGTACTCTAGTACTAGAGTACTTTTACTTCTTAAACAAAAGTTCTTCACATGCTGCATTTAACCCTTCCAATTGGCTTACATTTTTCTAGTTGCTTAGCAATATTGTGATTTTCCTTAAATATTAAGTGCAACCGTTTATAAAACCCGAAACGGGTCAGTTTCAAAACATATTCAACCCATATTATTATTATTATTTATTGCTAACAATATGAGCAATAGCACTGTAATCCTGATCGTGTGTATGAATACAACTGCAGATTTAACTTATTAGCTTAAACTGGTTGATATTATTAACATACTTGTATATACATTGTCTAGCTTGTATCTTATAACGTTTGAATTTATGTATTTATAATTTAAGTTTCAACCCATATAATTTAGCTAATCTATAAACAAATTACGTACATACTCACCTTTGCTTAGCGAGTCCACACTCATGCCCCTTTGGGATTTACTCCAGATGTTTTCAGCTTGCTGTTTTAATGGGAATCGCCTACCGGATCTCAACTGGTTATGTTACTCAGAACATTGTTATTGAAAATAAGAACAGTTAAAATGAGCATTTTAACAGCTTGGTGACAAATTTTGGCTTTATGCCTTTTCAGTTTTGAAATTCACGCTTTTTGCCATTCAGTTTCAAATCGATTTCTCTTTTATTCTGCATTGGAAATCGGGTTTGTGCCGTGATCACTAATGGAAATGTTAAAGTTGCATTTCAACAGGCTCTATTAAAATCTAGGGCAGAATTAAGTTATTCATTATTCAAAAATCGTCAGCAAGCGAAATTAAACTGAAACAGCTGTTTTACGTATACTGAATAAAGGCCAAGGACGTTTGATGAAAGCCATTTTCGATGGAATATGGAGACGGTTTTAAAACGGTTAAAGAACAATGCTCACAGAGGATTAATGACTACTTAATTCGTATGTATTAAGATAATATATTCCATTTTTGAAAATATTAGATATCACATGGGTAGTTAAACCACCTAAGTTATCATTTTAATTCGTTAGCAGTTGCGTTCCCAAGTGGGTATTGTAGAAACATTTAAAGCACATGTACTCTAATAAGTGCAAAATGTGCACATGAGTAGAAATCGAAGGTGTTGAACAGGTTGTATGTGTTTACAGTTGCTTGCAAAGTTCAAAGTCAAGGTTGCGAACTGGTTTCTGCCATAGACATCTCCGCTGGTGGCCTGAATCGACTGGAATCGAATCCTTCGGCACGAACATCTTCGGATCGGGAGAGCACATGGACATGCACATCCTTGGAACGTCCTAGGAGGGTAAAGACAGTAGTTATGGATATAATAGGTAGGTTCGTATCCTGTCGTTTTCTGTCTGGTCTAGATCGTACTCGACTTACGAGAACTAATAACTGATTTTTATATGATTGTCACACAAACTGAACTTAATGAAAACGAAAATCTTGCATTAAATTGTTGCTCTGAGTCAACCACCCATTAAAAAGCATCGTCACATGCCTAAAAACGGGAATCAATAATTGAATCTATTAGGGGGCGATCTGGCTGGCTTTAACCCCTGAGGTTCTTTAACAATTCCTCTGGGCAATTACAGTTTGATTACAACTCAGCTAGTGGGAGTGCGAACAAGAAGTTTTATAATGCTAGCATATTGAATGAAATTGGCAAAACAACTTCAAAAGTAAGGGCGTGGTGGTTTAGGTGCGCTGCGACTATAGCTCCAAGATCTCCACGTTTATATGGCCATCTTGACTCCCTTAGGTATTTTGACCAAAAATATATGTGTATACATACTTCATAGGGTTCAAGTATAAAAGCACAGTTTTTACCTGGAGTGCTTGAAACAATTTTCCAATCATTTTTACTGCTCTTAGCATGTGCATGTATTTTTAGAAGTCAAGAAGTACAGCTAAACAACTAGGGCGATATGTTTCGGGAGAAGAACAGTCCGTGGAGTGGTGCGGGATCCGGGTGACGAGTCCTAGTGATGGCGGGGATGCTCGGGTGCTGGGGGGTGAGACTGCAGCCATTCGAGGGCGCGGGCAATGGCCTCTGGGATTGGAGGAGGAGTGGGGATCCAAGCTCCCGAGGGCTGGTATCCGTTCTCATTGGCGACGTACTTGATCTCCACGTGCTCGCCCTCGGGGGAGATCCATCCGAAGTTGCCATGGATGTTGCCATGGACATCTCCGCTGGCGGCCTGCTCGATTCCGTTGGAGGTGTGCAGACTGGAATCGAATCCATCGGCGCGAACATCATCGGAGCGGGAAAGGACATCGGCGTTGACATCCTCGGAACGTCCTACGGCATGGGGCAGTGGGGGATTGGCCACCGCCAGGCCAAATACTGCGCAGATCATAACCTGAAGAAGAGTATGGACATTAGTTAGGGAACGAAAAGGTAGGTTCGTATCCTGTCGTTACTCACAAACTTAAACATTTTGGAGGATTTCTGTCTGGTCGAGAACGAACGTTGACTGATAACTGATTTGGGTCGAGTAGAGCTTTTTTATATGATCGCCACCCAAACTGAACCCATATCAAAACGCTACATCTTGCACCAAATTGCTGCTCTGAGTTATGGGTTGACTTCGCGGATGCGCCCACACCCATTAAAGGCATCGTCACATGGCGAGAGCTTAGCAAATGCCAAACAACGGGATATGTACTATATATAATCGCTTAATAGATGCTAAAATGAAACAATCGCATCAATAAGGGGCAAACGGGTCGGGTGGCATCCCGAAATCCAAACGAGTTTGACCCGCCCCTTCATTAAATCCCCTCTTTGAGCTTGACTTGGCATTGCCAAGCCGTGAACCACTTTTGGAGTGCCATGAAGACTCCATTGACTACAAAGTATCGCCGACTTCTTAGACTCGATGTTTTGCAACACATTAATTTGAGTCTCTACTTTGACACCTTTACCATTGCTTCCCTTTTTCGGTTCCTCTCGGTAGTTCTAGTTTGATTTTAACCCAATCTGGTTGTGTTTTATATTTGTTTGTACGCGCCAAGCTTCTTTTCTCATTCTTATATACTATTTAAATTTATTAAAAATCAATGAAAACTGATCAATCGAAGTCCATCGAGTGTTTTAGTGAAAATTAAAATTGATTAGTAAACCTTATGGATGAGGATGGAGAGGATATTTACTTTGATACTAAAACTTTGCTGACAATTTTTAATTGTTGATAGATACGTTTCAACGTTTGAAATATACCCAACTTTTTAAGATATGAGCTAAGCAGGCTTGTTTTTCAGATCATTTAGACTGGAGAGTTTCCTCACCAATTCGTTTAGAAAGAAAAAACTAATTTTCTTTAATCAATCAAAAAAGCCGCCAAACGAGGTTAGAACTTGTGACGATAGCACCTTCAGCTTACAAAAATACTGATATATACTGTTATAAATTCCATTTAAAAATACCATCATATTTTAACAAATGAGCGTTAACAATCGACGCGTAACAAGCCCCATTGATTATTCTTTTTTTGAAAACATGTACTCATGTCGGGTAAAAATATTTATTGAATAATATAAAACAGGTAAAGGAAAGGTCTGTGGAAGGATTAGGGTGACACGTGGGTGGGGTGCGTCCGGGATTGGGGGAAGAGTCGGAATCAAGGCTGGAATCGAGGGCTGGTAGCCGTTCTGACGTGCTCGCCCTCTGGGATGATCAATTTAAAATTGCCCTGGTCAATGCCATGGACATCTCCCCTGGCGTCCCGCTCGATTCCATTGCAGGCGTGAATGCTGGAATCAATCCAGCGGCGCGAACATCATCGGATCGGAAAAGGACATCGGTGTGGACATCCTCGCAATGGAGCACTGTTGAATTGGCCTCCGACAGGCTAAAAACTACAAGGGTCATAATCTGAAGGAGAGTTTCTTTTTGGATTCCTCTTGGCAATTGAAGTTTGATTACAAGATAGAACCCTAAAGTAGAGTTCCTCGACAATTACAAGCCCGTAAATCAAATCAGCTAGTGGGAGTGCGAACGAAAACTTTTAACATATTTTTGGCATATCGATAGAAACTGGCAAAACAAATAAAAAATGTGTATAATCTCTAAACATACGGACGGACAGGCAGACATGACCAGATCGACTTGGCTAGTGAATCCTAATCAAGGATATAACACTTCGTAATGTCGGATCGCTTCCTGCTACCTGTTACATACTTTTCAACATAAATATTGTATCCTTTACTCTACGAGTAAAGTCTAAAATAAACACATTTTCAAATAATGTGGGCGTGACAGTTCTGTGCGGTTTGTGGGCGTTAGAGCAGATGCGGCAATCTTCTAGGCCCAAATTGAACGAATTCTGCGATTCTAGAATCTGAATGCGATCGCGAGATCGCCACATTTATACGATATTGGCCATGTTGACTCGCCTAGTTCAAGAATGGGGTTTAGGTAGATAAACACATGGAGTACTTAAAGAAAGGTTTCAATGAAGAACTGCTATATGCTTACTGCTATAAGCATGTGCATGTATTTTTTTGAAAGTCAAGAAGTATAGATAAACAACTAGAGCGATATGTTTCGGGAGAACAGTCCGTGGAGTGGTCCGGGATCCAGGTGACGAGTCCTAGTGACGACGGGGTTGCTCGGGGGCTGGGGGGTGAGACTGCAGCCATTCGAGGGCGCGGACAATGGCCGCTGGGATTGGAGGAGGAGTGGGGATCAAAGCTCCCGAGGGCTGGTATCCGTTCTCATTGGCGACGTACTTGATCTCCACGTGCTCGCCCTCGGGGGAGATCCATCCGAAGTTGCCATGGATGTTGCCATGGACATCGCCGCTGGCGGCCTGCTCGATTCCGTTGGAGGTGTGCAGACTGGAATCGAATCCATCGGCACGAACATCATCGGAGCGGGAAAGGACATCGGCGTTGACATCTTCGGAACGGGAGACTGGGGCCAGGGCGGTAGCCACTCCCACAACGGCGAGGATCATCACAAACTTGAACATGTTGGCTGATTCTGTCTGGTCGAGAACGAACGTTGACTGATAACTGACTTTGGTCGGGGGAGCCTTTTTATATGGTTCCCCATTCGGTTGCTTTCCAAGCGAATTGCTTATTACTTTTTGGGCCAAGTATAAGTTACCGCGAGCACAAAGCGCCCATGATGCCAACAAAAGGCAGAGTCCATAAATTCTCCACTCAACCCTGCGATACAAATGTCAAAAAACGAGTCTTGCGCTGCTGAATTGATTCCGAAATGAAACATGCTTCGATAGAAATTTTGTAGGGGCGGTGCAGTACGGGTTTTTGGATTCAGTTTTGGATTGATGACGTTTCGAGTTGACCAAGCCTTTATCAGTCAAGCCTGTGTTTCATTTTGTAGTTGACTAGACTTCACTTGAAATGTAATACCATGCATTTTCTAAGTTTGACCAGTGACAATTAATTCATACCCAAACCAAACTAATTCATAAACAAACGATTCCGCAAGTAAAACTGCATGCTTACATACGTGTTAATTACCTATGCTATCACAATTTGTTGTTTCTCAATATTTTGGATGTCACTGTTTCATTTAAAAACCCCGCAAAGCTTTTGATCAGAGTTGTCAATGAATGTGGCACACATCAAATGAAATACTTAATTGGCGCCGAAAGCTAGGCTATAATATTGCGGTTAAAATGTTCTACAAAATAATTATTCAGTTTCTGGTCCGGTTTGCTTTTATATCGAGAGGCTGAGGCGAATATTTTGGTTGAATAAATACCCAAGAATGCTCAACTCCTTATAGAAGTGGTTAAACCATCTCAAAGTTGACTAATTTGCATCCCAGACGGATTTTAATATATGCATCATATTGACTTAATTACAATAAGCACATTGCATCAGCTTTGGAAGATATATAAACCCCAATTTGAGCATTGATTGTTATCAGTCTTAAAAGATTTCTAGTCCGACCAACTCAAAATGTTCAAGATCGTAAGTATCCCATGAGTAGCATCGGGCACTTCGCCGTCTAATCCCGGATTATCCTATATCCTAGCTGCTTGTCTGCGCCCTTGCCGCCGTGGTGGCCGCCAACGCCAATGTGGAGGTTAAGGAGCTGGTGAACGATGTCCAGCCCGATGGTTTCGTTAGCAAGTTGGTCCTCGACGACGGATCTGCCTCCTCCGCCAGCGGAGATATCCACGGAAACATCGACGGAGTCTTCGAGTGGATCTCTCCCGAGGGTGTCCATGTGCGAGTGAGCTACAAGGCCGACGAGAACGGTTACCAGCCCCAGAGCGACCTCCTGCCCACTCCTCCTCCAATCCCAGAGGCCATTCTGAGGGCCATCGCCTACATCCAGGCTAACCCCAGCAAGAACTAAGTGAACCCGCCGCCTAGGAACATGACAGATTGGAGACAGCTAGGTTGAGCTTGGATTTCTCTCAACAGCTGTTTAAAATTTAAGAAAAATGTTATCGAATTCGAAAATAAATTGAACCTTGCAATATAAGCCCAGTGAATGTTTTACTCATCACTCAGGTAGGTTGGAAAACAGCTCCTGATAATATAAGAAAATAATGATAAGAAGATTACAATTTAACAAAACAAAAAGATACAAAATGCCCTAAAAGCGTTCATCGCAGTAGACATTCGAAATACATTAAAACTGTCTTATCATAATTTTCTAACGTACCAATCCTCATTTGTCTGAGGCAGTGCCCACATTTGGATGCAGTGGGTCTTTGAGGGGACCCCAATCGATTTAATAGCAACACTTTGTTGCCAAGGCTGAGCTGCTCGGTGGCTTGAGCATTCAGTTGAGTACGACTTGTGGCTGTTTTCCTGTGCTTGTCCAGGATCAACACAGGTACTGCACCTGCGAAGATTGTGGGATGTGAAGGTCAACCCTAGGAGGAATCCTCCTCTCCATGTGAAGTTACAGTATTGCGATTTGCTTCCATTTATAGAAAGGTTCCATCTGTTTGGCCACTTGCCGCACGAGCGCTGAAATTCCTGGGTGACTCTAGACGCTTCGATTGGACAGGAAGAGTGCGGAAGGAGGCAGTGTCGCCAGTGTAGCTTGCCAAAAGCGTGCCCGGTACATTAAGACACAGCAGATTTGAAGTGGGCACGAGACCCAGGACTCCTCCATGAGGAACAACTGCACGAGCACATTTGATGTTTGACCTTTTCCCTCTCACCTCGACCACAGGGCTTCGATTAAGGAGGTACGATTTCTGGAGGGGAAATTGGCCAGTCTGAAGTAGTGACTTCGATTTAAAAGGCAATCCATCATGCCACACGCGGTCAAAAGCTTCCTTAATGTTAATACAGCAGAACAGTAGTGCTTGTTTTCAAAGGAATTCAAGATGTGCTGGACAACTCGATGCGCTAGCTCTGGGGTCTTAAAACCATACTGGTGGGCGGGAATAGGAGGGCCATTGATTCTTCCACCTCTTCGCAAGGTCAAATGACTGAAAGCGTTTTCCCAGCTCGTCCACAAAAACTAAGTGTAGATTTCCAGAGGTTGAAGCCGTACGGAGCACCTTCGCCGAGCATCCCATCAAAATATTCGCGTTTGGTATCAAAAAGAAGCTCTTTAGACCATCTTCAGAAAAACGATAAGCGTGTTTGTCGACTGGATCATGAGATCTTTTCAACCTCACAAAGTGCAGGACTCTTAATTTTAAGATGAATGGTGTGTAATCACAGTTAAGTTCAAAACTTTCATTGATGGAGAGGCACTTTATAGACAGCAAAGTCAATGGCTATTGGTGTTCTATGGCTGTACAAATATAAGTTCTGGAATATATCCGTCTGTTGTATAGGTATGAATTGTATACATTCTGTTTTTCGAAACCCCACGGGAATGTTGATATTTACTGAAAAGTAATATTTGCTCATATGATTAGAGATATGCACAAATGGACATGGATAGTATATCCGATATTCGTGTTTCCGGTCATTTCTTGCTAATACATCTTAAAAACCAAATAATGCTCCGAAAAGTATGCTGGATTTATAAGCGGCTGGCCAACTAAATTAAGCATTCCATTTAATCAAACACATTTTAACTATCAGCAGCCCAAAAATTATTTAAACAAACTGTTTTACTCGATCGGTCCCGGAGAGATTCAAAATGATCAGGGTAAGTATTCCGGAAGGTGTGGAATTATTCCAAGGAGGATGTGGATTTAACCTTTCCGAGTAACGCGATTCTTTTTAGAATAATTACGGTAGCAATTTGCATAGACAACAGAAAGCAAAAAGAGTGCAGCAGACGATTTTTATCGCCACCGAGCATGTCACTTGAACCAGTCCGTAAAGTCAAACGAGACCTATGCTGGCCGAAATGTTAATTAAAAACGGGTTGCATCAGCTTTGGGATTTCGCGGGGAGTGCGTATCAGCGTATAAAAGCCAACGAGTGATCCCGAATCGGCATCAGTCTCACGAGCTCTCCAGTCTGACAATCTAACCCATCAACATGTTCAAGATCGTAAGTACCTGGCCATCAAAACCGGACAGTTCAATAAGTAATCCCGGCATATCCTAGCTGCTTGTCTGCGCACTTGTCGCCATGGTGGCCGCCAACGAGAATATTGCGGTCATTGAGCAGGTCAGCGATGTCCAAGCCGATGGCTTTTCGAACAAGCTGGTCCTGGACAACGGCTCTGCCTCTTCCGCTTCCGGAGATGTCCACGGAAACATCGAGGGAGTCTTCGAGTGGATCTCCCCCGAGGGCGAGCACGTTCGTGTGAGCTACAAGGCCGACGAGAACGGTTACCAGCCCCAGAGCGACCTCCTGCCCACTCCTCCTCCAGTCCCAGAGGCTATTCTGAAGGCCCTCGCCTACATCCAGGCTCATCCCAGCAAGGAATAAGCAATCGACACGACCAGGACTCAATTTTGCATTGGAGGTGCAACTCCAAGTGACCTTGCCCTCTACCCGCTAGAAGTTAAACAGCATACTGACATTAAAAGTTTGATTATCGAGTTTTAAAATAAATTCGATACTCTTTGGCAAAAGATATATGTACATATATAAATGTGGTCTTAAATCTGTGACGGGAGTACGAGTTACCTGGGCAGTTGATTTATTTTGGTTTCAGACTATCACGAACTGTCTGGATGTTACCTGATTGATCTTAGCCAAAAGTAACCTGTTTAATTAGCGATACAGTGGAAACCATCAAGCCATCTAGATTTCGGCTTAATTTCAGTCTGCTTTATTACAGTTTTAAATGCAATAAAATATTTCATTAAATTCAAGCCATGGCTGAAAATATAACCGGAAATTAGTTGCTTGTTTGCTTCTGTTTGGCAGGCCCATCACATTAACTCTTCATCGATCATCGAATCATATTGTGCAAAATAAACGGAAATCTGCGTATCTTCACTATTAGATACCCATTACTTAGCATGCTGTGTACAAATTTCTAAATGTTGTTGGTATACCGATAGCAATCTGCAAGGCAAATAATATTCTAAATATTTTTCAAAAGTGTTGTTCAAATTTAGGGCGGTTGGAAAGCATTGCGACTGGGTGTGGCAATATACTTAAACAATCTTGCTTTGAATCACTACAATCCGTATATTTATTCTGAACCAGCCAGAACGACTTGGCTTGTGATCCTGAATTCCTTTCACAATGTTGTCAAGCATCTAGTATAAAAATCGTAGGTGTACGAGTGGATATGAAATATATATAGCAATGACAAATAAGATTGATTTTAGAGCAAATACACCGTAAATTATATTTATCTTTGATACTAAAAGTGTTATAAGGAAAGTAAAAAGTTGTTCTGTATTGTAGAATTGCAGCTGCAGAATTTTGTGTGGCGCCGACATTCTTCAAGATTTTCCTAAAGTGTAAACGGACTAGCCATTAACGTGCCCAATATTCAAATTAGACATTAAAGTGTTATACGTTATAAGTTGTTAGCAAATTCTAAGGCCCAGATAGGTGCATGTCGCCATCTCCCTCGCACGTTGTAAGTAAATATAGGGTATCGAATAGTCGAGACTCTATAACGACCTCTCTTGTGACCTTTTTCTTTAATATTCTCTTTCTTATTTTAAGCAAACGTTTTTAGGCCACCCAACCCTTTTCGAAACAAAACCATTTTATATAGCACTTCCTATATCATCCATGGTAATTAGACACTAAATTATTTGTTTTCCTAATTGAATTGTCTATCTTCTGAAACATTTCTTATAACCTATATTTCTTCCCTATATCACGGCTGGTATCTGCACATCCCATTTCTATTGGTAGTGCGAACGCAATTCCGTTTCGCAATAAAATAAAAGCGAAGCTGGTGATCTGCTCTAAATGAATATTATTTAACACAGAATAAACAAATACAAGCAAATTAACATGAAATGGTTGCCAAGTCAACTTTGATAATTAGCAAGGAAATATTGATGAGAACTGTTCGAACGGGTTATAATGGTCACAGAAATGGGAGTCGTGTGGAATAGAAAATAGTTTTCGAATTCGTATAAAGAGTAAAAGTTAAAGGCGTTAGATTTTAACCAATTTGTATTGTGGCTAGTAAATGAAGTATAATACAATCAAGTGTTTGGGTGCTTTTACATATGTTAAGGTAGCTGATTGAACTCATCGCTTTCTAAGCCTAATCTGGATACCATTTTCCGATTTAAGCGTGACGCGAATATTCAACACAGGATCGTACTCGCTCTGTGGGACACAATCCTCGCGGGAATGATCGTTGATTCCCGGAGGAAGTCCATCTACGGCAGGCAGAATCTCAAAGCGGCGCAGCAGCTGGGAGAGCAGAGCCTTCATCTGGTACATGGCGAACTTTTCAGCTGCAGCCAATAACGAGAAATAGAATATAGTAAGATTGGTAAAATTAACTGTGTAACCCAAGGAACACTAACCAATGCAGCGCCTTGGCCCTGCACTGAATGGCACACTCTTGAAAGCCTCGATGCCCACGTCACCAGTTGGGTTTTCGAATCTTGTGGGCCGGAATGTGCAGGGATCGTCGAAGTACTTTTCGTTGTAGCCCATGGCAATGAGGCACATGATCACCGTGGTGCGCTTGGCCACCTTGGTGCCATCTGAAGGAATCAGGGTTTATAATACGCGAAACCCACATTTTTGGGATCACTTACTGATGTCGATGGGCTGGCGGTTTGTGCGAGCAATCAGGGGGACAGAGGGGTACAAACGCAGGGTCTCTCTAATTACCAGCTCCAGATAGTGCATCTGATCCAGTCGACCCAGGTCCGCCTCCGCCGAGCAGTTCTCGCCAAAGATGCGCCGCTGTTCCTCGGCAGCTTTTTGCTGAATCTCCGGGTGACGGGAAAGCGTGTACAGTGTGAATGATATGGCGGCGGCAATGGGATCGTGGCCCTATATAAAAATGTTGACTTATGCACTAAATACTGTCGGACATTAAGGATAATACATTTAAGTGTCACGTACCGTAAATATGAAAGTGGACATTTCCTCGATAATCTCGCGCTCCTTGAGAGCGCGCCCATCCAGCTTGGCGGTCAGCAGGACGTCCAGGAAGGGTTTGTTGATTGGCTCACCCTGCTGGCACGCGTCGCCCGCAGCCAGCTGGTGTCGTCGTTGCGAGATAATCTGTGAGATAGTCAGCCTTCAAACTTTCATACTTCTGGCCATATATTGGCTGGATTTACCCGATTCAGCTCGCTGCGCAGGAGTGATAGAGCCCGGCGCTGCTTCATGTAGTAGGAGGTGAGGCGGAAGAGGGCGTCGAACCGCTTCACGATGCTGAAGGTGCGCTCCTGAACCACGTCGCATAAGCTGGGAAGCGGAGAGGGGAATTATGAGCTTAGTACCGAGACTCCTCGGATCAACTTACTCCTTGATGGCGCCATGCAAATCCGAGGGCTCGCCATTCAGCGAGCTGCTGTCCAGGCCAGTGGCGTTTTCTGTCGGAAAAAAGGAAGAGAGGGTGAAGATTTGCAGATTCCAGCTGAGCAAATGAACCTGAACGAATGCCAAAAAATCTCAATAAATTACCAACGGGTAACTGAAAAATTCTTCAAATCATTTGCCCCACAAGATGCAGCAGAGTGTGTATTAATGAGGGCGACTGCCTCGACCGCGAAACCTTGCCGCCCACACAATCTGCGGCACTTGTACCCATTTCCTATGCAATAAATCTTATTTATAAAACGTTCATAATAAATTACAAATAAAATAACAGAGCGAAACGCCCGAGAGCGAAACGCGGACGAAAAAACGACATGACAAATGTGTAAAGTTTGGCAGTCGTACACATAGAGAAAATGTAAGGGCCATGCGCGTGTACTTTGTCTGGAAAAAAAGGGAGTATAATCTGAGGAGTATTGGATATTTATATGTTGCTAAAAATTACAGATTGAACATGTTGAAGTTGAAGTTATTGTAAGTTAAAAAGAAGTAATTATTTATATATATAATGGTAATGATTTCAGGGACAACTAAAAGATGTTTTTTGCTGTGCACATAAAATTGCTCTGCAAAATTGCGATGCCAGGTTCAATAAACAAGTGCAACCCACTTACCACACACAATATCCAGGGTACACTTAGCAACCAGCTCCTGGGCATCGAAGATTTCCTGCGTATCCGACAGTACGTCGAGTTTCAGGACGAACTGTCCGCCCGTTCGGTGGACCACTCGCAAGTAACCCTCGATGGCCGAACGCTCGAAGGCGGGAACGTAGAGCTTCTGGTGCTTCAGCCAGCGGGCACCGGAACTGGTGAGTAGCCCATCGCCCAGCCAGGGCCTCAAAAAGGAGTACAAGTGCTCCTTGTACAGCAGCGATGAGCTCGACAGGATGTTCTGCAGGCCAAACATAGTGGGATGGTGGATGATGGAGGAGGATGGTGGATGGTGGATGGTGCGGTGGGGAACTCACCTGAATTTCCGCCGGATCACTCAGCATCATGTGGTACTGCAGGAAGACCAGGGAGCGGAATCCCTGAAAGTCATATTTCCGACAATACTGCAGGACCTTTTTGGGGTATTCTGTGGGAGACACATAGAGTTAATGAGCCCCCACACTTTAGTTATCGACCCCAAGGACCTCGATTGCAAAGCTGCAGCTGGGTAGAAAATTCCGAAAATTAGGCTTCATGCTAATTTTTGCAAGTTGCAATTGATTCTATGCACTTCTGCTTTTGATACTGCGCCTCTGAAATGTTTGCCAATCAATATGGGTTCAGGTAATCATATTACTAATTGAAGCTCTGGACAAAAACAATCACAGCATCCGAGTAATTTTACATTTTTCAAACGTCTTCTGTGAGCCATGACAGAGCAATCTAAGCTGGCATAAAAATAACAAATAATAACAATCCCATAACAATGTGCAGCTCCTGCCAGTCCATGTTGAAATGGAACCCCAGCCGAGCAGGGAAGCAGAATTATTTCATCGAAAGTAAAGTGCACCATCGCTTTTCCTCCGGGCATTGTGCATTTGAAATGATTACTTTGGGCACGTGCAGGGAAGGGCCGAATTTATTCAGCTGTGCGAGAAAAGGCACTCGGGAAATGTGCACGGAGCCTGATGAAAGCTGTAGCAAAATATTACAATAAATAAGTCGAGTAAATCAGCACAATCCAAAATGAAATCCAAATGTGCATCTCGATACCACCGGGAAACGAACGCATTCAACCTGGATCTGGCGGATTCGGTCACACGGACGACTTCGGAATTAAACTTTGAAGAGTTCATAAATATAGGCAGGCTATTTGGCCAGTACTCACCGGCTGGCTTGAGACCAAACTGGAACAGATTACCCACGAAGGGGTATGGCGTGGGTCCTGGGATCATCTCCATGATGCCAGCCATGTGGTCTATGTAGTTGAATATCCTCACACCCTTGAACACCAAAATGGTGGCCAAGACAATGCCAATGGCTATTAGAAACATAATGCCGCCCAACTGTTCTTGCTCGCTATGCTGACCAGACTGGTTTGCCGGAACTTTTGCAGATTAGTCGGTGGCCAATTTAGGCCCGATTATTCCGTTGATAGCTTATCTGAATTTTATGCATTTTACTTATTTTTTATTGCCGTCGATAATTGATAATAATAAATAGTGTACTACATGGTAGGACTTGACTCACTGAACTGATGACGTGTGGCTCTAAAGGCCGTTTTGGTATCACCAGCTGTTATGTGCCAATAAACCATTGTTAGTCACTCTGTGAAAATGAATTAGGGTAGTAGCCACAATTTTGACACATAATAATTATGAACAGGAAAATATTCGATTGAGGGTTCCGAGCGCGATAAACAAGTAGAACAATGAGCTGTTGAACAGCTTACAGTAATCACAAAAGGTCAAATAGTAAAAACAAAATTATTGGAGTGTTCGTGTATTTCCTTCAAATCCCGTTTGAATACTAAATTTTGAAAAACTAATCAGATTTTTAAGATGCTTGGAGAATGCAAGAGAGAATGCTAAGTTCCCTGACTATTAGATACCCGTTACTCACGTTGTGGAAGTGCGAACGAGAAATTTCAATATTTTTTCGAATATCGGTAGATATTGGGGGAAAAAAGAATAAAAAGAAAAAACTTAATAATTCTTTAAAAGTGTTGGCGGGACAGTTTTGGGCGGCTTGTGGGCGTTAGAGTGGGCGTTAGAGTGGGCGTGGCAACATTTGAAAACAAACTTGCGCTGCATCTATGTCTCTGGAATCTAATTATATGTCTGGAAATAATTGTTTATCAAACAAAATACGTATTGACCAGAGAAATAAACAAGTGACGATCGCAGACGAAGTATATTAAAGTTACGATATCAACTTTTGCGACAAAAATGATTTTACTATATAAAATTTGAATATCTATAGTTAGAACATTTTAAGGGCTACACAGCTATGAATTCTAAAAGAAATCGTTAGACTCGTTTTAAAAAAATTAACAAAAAATTAAAAAACAAAATCTTTTTTCTTGTAATTAGAGGAAATTAATAAACTATCAGGCTATCAGGCCACAAAATAAATCCTTGCTTTGTGGATACAGCAGCTTTGTAATATTTAATTATTATTCTACTTCATAATCGAATTCAGAAAATGTTTAAAGTATCACTACATACGAACATATGTATTTCAATACATAATTTCAAATTCAGATGCAACTGCTTGCATATCCCCTTTTCTTCGCACATTTTGGCTGAGTAACCAGAATTTAATTGTCGAAACGCCAGACCGTTTTACTGTTTCAGTAATACAAGTGTTAAATCATTTTTAATTTTTGACAGGCAAATGTAAATTTCCAGTGAATTTTACCTCACGTTTGTGATTTCTACCAAAACTTGAAGCTTGCTGCTGATAAGCTATGAAGAGACCCTCTCTGTTCTCTTTGAATTCCGAAAGAGTAATCCCAAAAACATTCTGCATACATAATGTGTTTTTAATGCACCCAACTTCGCTTTCTTGTATCGAGCGGATGCCTGTCTAAGTTTGTTTAATCCCATTGTGTGCTGCCATAAAACAATATTTATTAGATACAGTTTTAAAAAAAAGCTAACTGTTACATATCTAAGTGCGGTCGCGAAAACCGCAGATTGTCGCTCTCATCTAACGATTAAACAGAGGCCTCTTCTTTAAAAAACCTGATAATGAAACGGCTTGTCATGCTGAAGACCCCAAAATATTTACTTATATTCGGGAGACCGTAGTTGGATTCAAAAAAAGTAGGAAAGAGAGCAGGAGGCCGGGGAGTTCGCTCTAATCTCCCGTATTTAAACCGGCAGTCGCCGCAAAAAAGCTCTCATATCTCCAGTGTTTCGCGGGCTGGTCGGTTGTCTTGGAACTCGCGGTCGAAAATGTGGATCGTGTTGTATATTTTATTGGCCCTGCCGTTGCTGGTGGTTGCCTATCTGGAGTTGAGCACGTATCGGCGGAAAAAAGTGCTTAACAAGTTCAACGGCCCAAGCGGCCTGCCGCTGGTGGGAAACGCTCATCAAATGGGCAAGAATCCCGCAGGTGGGTTTTCCATACAAGTCGGAAAAGTCGTACTTTTAGATACGAGATACCTAAGATTACCCATCTCGAATAGCGTTGTGACTGAGGTAACTGCGCATCGAATCTACTCAGCGGCAAGGCTATTCCAGTAAGGTTATTTTGGGCCAGCGACTCAACGACCGGAAAACAGGGGTGTTAACTATCAGGTAATGGGGCTGCTGGCTCTAGAATTTGGCTAATAGTAGCCTAGGTCGAGAATCACAAATATAATGCCGAGGCTTTGATTTGTGTTGTGCAATACACGACTGTATTTTACAGCACTTTGAATACTGAAAATCGCGTGCCGAATACCAACAATGAATACCTATGGAATACCGATATTGGTATCCGCCCACTAATGGCTTTTTCTTACGTATAGAGATTCTCGACACCCTGTTCTCCTGGTGGCATCAGTACGGAAAAGGCAACTTCGCCTTTTGGATCGGAACATATTCCAATGTATTGGTCACTAGCTCCACGTACCTTGAAGTGAGTGTTCAGCGAATTTTCGACAATCATAATGATTCTAAAATTTTCATACTTTAGTTCATACTCAGCAGCCAGACGCTGATCACAAAGTCCGACATTTATGAACTAACACATCCCTGGCTGGGATTGGGTCTGCTCACCAGTACTGGCAGCAAATGGCACAAACATCGCAAGATGATCACCCCTGCCTTCCACTTCAACATCCTGCAGGATTTCCACGAGGTGATGAACGAGAACTCCGCAAAGTTCATCAAGCACTTGAAGTCGGTTGCTGCTGGGGACAATATCTTCGACTTCCAGGAAGAGGCACATTACTTGACCCTGGACGTTATTTGCGATACAGCGATGGGCGTGTCCATCAATGCCATGGAAAACCGCAGCTCTTCCATTGTGCAGGCCTTTAATGAGTTAGTTCAGAGCTTTAGTTGGACCATGAGATGCTATGATTCTTCACCCTTTTTAGCATGTGCTACAACATCAACATGAGAGCCTTCCATCCGCTGAAGCGCAACGAAATGCTGTATCGACTGGCTCCGGACTACCCGGCCTACAGGAGGACGCTAAAGACCCTCCAGGACTTTACCAATGAGATCATCGCTAAGCGCATTGAAGCCCACAAATCAGGTGCAGTTTCGACCAGTGAAGGAGATGAGTTCACGCGCAGGAAAATGGCCTTTTTGGACACCCTGCTGTCCTCCACTATCGATGGCCGTCCCCTGAACTCCAGGGAGCTGTACGAAGAGGTCTCCACATTTATGTTTGAAGGACACGATACTACCACTTCCGGAGTGTCGTTCGCTGTCTATCTGCTTTCCAGACACCAAGATGAACAGGTTCAGTAAATTGCTTGGGACGAAAAATGTTTAAATGCTTACCTTCATATTGTATTATAGCGCAAACTATTTGACGAACAACGGCAAATAATGGGTGATTCTAAGCTGGGTCGCGACGCCACCTTCCAGGACATATCCCAAATGAAGTACTTGGACCTCTTCATCAAGGAGGCCCAGCGCGTTTATCCCAGCGTACCCTTCGTGGGACGATTTACGGAAAAGGACTATGTTATAGGTAACAATTAATTATGGCCATTTAGAACGCTTTGAGTAACAGTATCACACTTGCTTTAAAGATGGGGATCTCGTACCCAAGGGAACCACACTGAACTTGGGTATCGTGATGCTGGGCTACAACGAAAAGGTGTTCAAGGATCCCCACAAGTTCCGACCTGAGCGCTTTGAACTGGAGAAACCAGGACCTTTTGAGTATGTACCCTTCAGCGCTGGACCCCGAAACTGTGTTGGCCAGAAGTTCGCCCTGCTGGAGATCAAGACCGTGGTATCCAAGATCATCCGAAATTTCGAGGTGCTTCCTGCTCTGGATGAGCTCGTCTCTAAGGACGGTTATATAAGTACCACCATAGGCCTAACTGATGCCGAAAGGAAGAAGCGGGATCCAAACCGGCACAAATACGACCCTATTCTGTCCGCTGTACTAACCCTAAAATCCGAAAATGGCCTACACATTCGACTGAAGGAAAGGCACTGAAGTGCCAATTTATTGAACTTTTTGTTTAGTTTAGTGCTTGCATTTTGCTTAACTACAATTATTAGGGAGCTGTTAATCAGGCGAAGTAGAACAAATACATTTTTAAACGGACCAACTCGTTTTAATCTTCGGATTATTGAGAATGTGTGAATTAGATTAAGAAACTTGAAACGATAGTTTAACATGTGTATCAAAACACTGAGTCGCAGCATAATGGACAGTCATGCTGAATGCACAAAACTGTGTTTCGAATTTGGGAGATAATGTCGCCATAGGCCGTTTACTCTTTGTGAGATACAAAGAGCGAGAGACTGAGAACTGCCTGCCGCAACCGGTTAAAGTATTTAGGCAGAGATACATCTGGTTTCTACTCAATTCCGATCTACTCACTGCAGCGATCGGTTGTCTCTAGTCGCATTCAAAATGTGGATCGTACTGTGCGCTTTTCTGGCCCTTCCACTGTTCTTGGTGACCTATTTCGAACTTGGAATACTGCGGCGAAAGCGAATGCTGGATAAGTTCCAGGGCCCAAGAATGCTGCCTGTGGTGGGCAATGCTCATCAGATGGGAAAGACTCCCACAGGTAAGTGCTCCACAGTACAATCTAGGGAAATCTCACTGCGGCCGGGATCAAAGTCCCCTTTTAGATAACATTAGGTGTAATCACAATTGTGTAATAGCAATTGTGTATGAATGATAGTTCTGAAACTAGTTAGTTGGAAGTAAGTTGGCCAAGTCCGTGTGACTTTGACAGCCTGAAGGTCTGTGCCGCTCAAATGGGACAAACTTACCAAATTTTCCCATAGAAAGTCATTAGTAGTGATTTGTTGTATTAAAGACTACACCTACCTACTGCGCTATCTAATTGTAGTAACTAAAACTTATATGATTTGTGTTATCTCCAGAGATCTTAAACCGATTTTTTGGCTGGTGGCATGAGTACAACAAGGATAACTTTCGTTATTGGATAGGCCACTACTCGAATATTATGGTCTCTAGTCCCAAATACATGGAGGTGAGTGTGACCAGTTAATTTCGTAAAGGAAAAGTCATACAATGGAGCTTTTTTGGCACAGTTTATACTTAGCAGTCATACCCTGATATCCAAGTCGGATGTATATGATCTCACTCATCCCTGGTTGGGATTGGGTCTGCTCACCAGTACTGGCAGCAAATGGCACAAACACCGCAAGATGATAACCCCAGCATTCCACTTCAACATCCTGCAGGACTTCCACGAGGTCATGAACGAGAATTCCACCAAGTTCATAGATCAGCTAAGGAAAGTGGCAGACGGAGGCAACATCTTCGACTTCCAGGAAGAGGCACATTACTTGACTCTGGACGTTATTTGCGATACAGCCATGGGTGTGTCCATCAATGCCATGGAGAACCGAAGCTCATCCGTTGTGCAGGCCTTTAAAGAGTATGTATATGTGATGTGTGTTATAAGATATAGATGGGCTCAAGAGCTTGACAAGAAACACCCGAAATATACAGGAAGCTAATTATCCGTTTGAATTGTGTGCGTTCCTATATAATAATCATTCTATATGTAATGTAATTACTATATGTAATTTTTTATTTGCTTGCAGTATTACCTACACCATCAAGATGAGAGCCTTTAGTCCGTGGAAGCGCAAGGAATACCTCTTTCGGTTTGCTCCTGAATATTCAGAATATTGTAGAACTCTGAAAACCCTCCAGGACTTTACCAATGAGATAATAGCAAGGAGAATCGAAGTCCGAAAATCAGGGATTGATGTAGGCATCAAGGCTGATGAGTTCTCCCGCAAGAAAATGGCCTTTTTGGACACTCTACTCTCATCCACAGTGGATGGCCGTCCTCTGAACTCCCAAGAGCTTTACGAAGAAGTTTCCACCTTTATGTTTGAAGGACATGACACAACTACCTCTGGCATTGGCTTTGCAGTCTACTTACTTTCCCGTCATCAAGATGAACAGGTATCCGATTGGACGAATATATTAATAGATTAATATATTACTTTCGGGTTGCAGAAAAAATTATTTGACGAGCAGTGCGAAGTAATGGGCGCTTCTGGACTTGGTCGGGATGCCACATTTCAGGAGATATCCACAATGAAACATTTGGATTTGTTTATAAAGGAGGCGCAACGGGTTTATCCGAGTGTTCCTTTCATTGGTCGCTTTACAGAGAAGGACTACGTGATTGGTAAGTCTCATGAGCACACTTAAGTCTCATTAGTAATCAGTGATTTGTGTTTAGATGGCGACATTGTGCCGAAGGGCACTACCTTGAACCTGGGGCTTCTTATGTTGGGATACAATGACCGTGTTTTCAAGGATCCCCACAAATTCCAACCTGACCGCTTCGACCGGGAGAAGCCCGGGCCCTTTGACTACGTGCCCTTCAGTGCTGGACCCCGAAATTGTATTGGACAGAAGTTTGCACTGCTCGAGATCAAGACTGTGGTGTCCAAAATCATTCGAAATTTCGAGGTGCTGCCAGCTCTGGATGAACTTGGTTCCAAGGATGGCTATATAAGTACCACAGTAGGTCTGCCGCCGCCGGAGAAGAAGAGGCGAGATGCTCACATCCATAAGTATGATCCAATTTTGTCGGCTTCCATGACTCTGAAGTCCGAAAATGGTCTGCACCTGCGCATGAAGCAGAGGCTCGTATGCGATAGTACGTGATTAAACTCTTGTATACACATAGGCTACACTTTGTCAACTTTGCCAACTTTGCCAACTTTTCCAACCTTGTTAAGTACATGTATAATACACACTTTATTTAACATCGCTACTTTATAGTCACTATTGGAATAAAATTAGCTTAGACTGCCACAAGGACGGTGCCCACATAGGGATTGGCAACGAACTCCGCTGATGTGATAACATCGCCATCGATGTACTGGGAGCTCAAGGAAGTGGTGATGACCTCCGCTTGGGTGCCCAGTCCGTAGTACTTGGTCAGGTCCAAAGTCTTGGAGGTGCTGCCCAGGTTGAGAACGATCACATAGAGATCGCTTCCGGTCTTTTGACTATTTGAAAGATAAACATTCAGTATACGAGGCATTCCTTCAAAGACTTCTAGACCTACCGTGAGTAGATGAGCACATCGTCGTCGATTGCCTGAATGTTGAGTTCTCCCTGGCGAAAAGATGGCTCCTTGCGCACGCGCACCAGTTTCTTGAAGATCTGCAGGTGAGAACGTGGAGCACGCAGCTGCTGCAGGGCGTTGTTGGTTTTGTAGTCATCCGCCACTGGTAACCAGGTGTGATCGGCACTGGTGAAGCCTGAATATGATATATATAAAGTTAACGTCCATAAGAACTTCAAAGGAATGAAAAAGTCCCTAAATATAAGTGCTTCAATGCCAATGCAACACACTTTCCCATACTAGTGGTCTTCAATATCAAATTACCTTTTTTTAAGCACTTTCACATTAGTGAAAGTATAGTTCTTATCAGCGTGATCTACACAGTGTAATTACGGAAAAGTACATACCCGCTTTGGAGGAGGCGTCCCACTGGTAAGGAGATCGCTCAGGGTCCCTGGACCGGGCGTAGTAGTTGTCGGGATCGGAGTTGCACGCGTTTGGGTCCACGGTGTCTTCCCAGCTAATCCAGACGTCGGTCATGCCGAGCTCCTCTCCATTATAGGTGACCGCGTGACCGGGCAGAGTCTGCAGCAGGATGTTGATGAGGTCGGTGCGCTGGACACCAAATCGAGAGGCCACTCGCTTGTTGTCGTGGTTTCCCAGCACCCAGTTGGCATAAACGCCGGCGGGCATGGCGTCCATCCACTTCTTAATATGATCTACGTAGTCGCCGGCCTTGGAAGCGTTGTTGATGCTGGTAAGGAAGTCAAAGTTGAAGGGAATATGGGAGCCGTTCCTTACACCATTTCCGTAGTATGTCATGATGTTTGCGAAGCTGGTGTACGCCTCCGTCATCAGCAGCCTCTGGTCTCCGCCGTGCTCGACGTGAAACTCATCCACCACCTCACGCCACTGGTACACCATGTCAATAGTTTCCGGCATGTCCTGTGTATAGATGTGCTGGGTGTAGCAGTGGTCGTCAGGGTCGGGACAGTTCACGGGGTCGTTGGTCAAAGGCTCATCCGGATACTGGTTGTAGCGATCGAGGTCCACCTCAAACAGGTAAGGAACTGCATCAATGCGGAATCCGGAGACTCCCTTTCCCAGCCAGAAGCGAATCACGTTCTTCATCTCGTTAACCACGGCCGGATTGCGGTAGTTGAGGTCGGCCTGCTGGATAGCGAACTGGTGGAGGTAGTACTGCTGTCGCACATCGTTCCACTCCCAGGCACTGTAGCGAAACTCGGAGTTCCAGTTGCTCGGCGGCTCCCGCTCGCCGGTCTCGTTGTTGATCTTGCCATCGTGCCAGACGTAGAAGTCCTTGTACACGGGGTCACTGTCCACTGACTTGGTGAACCATTCGTTTTCGGTGCTGGAGTGATTTGGCACGAAGTCCAGGATAATCTTGATGCCCACCTCCTTGGCTTTGGCGATCATGCGCTCAAAGTCCTCCATGGTGCCGTATTCTGGCTGGATCTGGTAGAAGTCCGAAATGTCGTAGCCAAAGTCTACCATGGGCGACTTGAAAATGGGCGACAACCAGGTGCCCGTGAAGCCGATGTCTTTCAGATACTGTAACTTCTCGGTGACCCCGTTCAGGTCGCCAATGCCGTCTCCGTCGGAGTCCCGGAAGGAGCGCGGGTAGATCTGGTAGTAGTTTCCACTTTCCCACCACTCGGTGGCTCCCACGAAGCCAACCAAGGCCAGGAATAGACACGCAGCTGATTGCGGGCGCATTTTGATCGATTTTGTTCGAGCTGGAGAGCTGACAGCGCCTTTTATACCAGTCGATAAGGTTGCTTCTATCGAGATCTGGCCATTTTGAGTGGCCATTTGAATTGCTGTGCAAACAGCTCCCATGAGTTCTCAGGGTGCTCAAGTCGAACCGAAACTGTCATTGTTTTCGTACTCCCAGCGCAGCTTTACGTAAAGCGATTAACCCACTCCCGAATGTCTTTTGATTGCTGGAAAAATACCGATGACAAATATCTTTGTGACAAACATCTTCCTGAATTTTTGGTATACCCTAGGTATATTCTAGGTTTGGCGAAACATTATTAGCACGAGCGTTCCCGTTCCTATAAAGTATTTAGATCGCGATTTTGGGAAATAATAACTGAGCTGAGAATAAAATTGTAGATTCTAGGAAGCTAACCCATCTAAAGTTAGTTTTAAAAGATTCCCACACAACATCTTACGGTCGGAAACGCACATTACGAGGACAAAGGGTAAAGATTGTTAATGGTATTTTGATAAATTTATTAATACTACTTTACAATCTAAGAAGGTAATATAAAATGAATTAACTATTACATTAATAGATAATTAATAGATAGATACATTAATAGATAGATAAGCAATTCTTCTGCAGCTATTTGCATTTCATGTGCCAAGTCTAAAACAGACGGCTGCTGGTTGCATGTGTGAGTAACAGGTATCTAATAGTCGCTGCACTCGTTTTTAGCGTTCTCTCTTGTTTTTGTTATGGTAGGGCTTTAAAGTGGGCATTAGTCACCTGATAAGAGAACAGACAAATCCTACTCCTTCAACTACAAGCAAACAAGCAACAAGCTGGAAAATTATGATTAATTAATACTTAACTATGGTGTGGCAATGTTTTAAGATAACCTTGTGAACGTTTTGGGGGCACTTTAATCGCATGATAAGGTTTTCGAATAAAATTTGTTTTTCAGATTTGCTCGTTGTAACTTGTACCTTTTATTTATCTATTATATGCGGTACTCGAAAAGTATACGCTCTATAATAGATTCGTTAAGAAGTATGTAATAGGTAAAAGGACCCGTTACCGAGGACGTAGAGGATAATCTTAGTAAATAGTTATATAGTATATAGTTAGTAATAGTTTTCCTTTACCTCGTTAAGAGGTTGCCAAATATAATCAATCAATTTGAAATTACTTGCATAAGTTGGTCTTCAATTGTTGCAACCAGAACCTTTTGAAAAAAATTGGATATTTTACTTCCCAATCCTAAGCTTTACTGTTAACAAATACCTGAAAAGATAACTTTAGTATATTTTTCGATTATATCTAGTAGCTTTAAGTTTAATCATCTTCTTTTGCATAGCATAGGAATTTACATTAATACCATTGGTGGTTTCAGGGGTAGAAGTACTTGAAAAAGCTCATCGTGAATATACAAAAAAAGGTCCTTGAAATGCAGCTAGACTTCTATCAAGAATTCTACGTAAATTTAAGTTTTTATCTTTTTTGTACTCTGGGCCAAAAAAGATGGAAATGTTAAAATAAAAGTGTACTTTAGATAAGTACTTCTATAAATACTTTTTATAAATAGAAAAAATATCAATCAAAAAACAAAAGAGAGCCTGACACATACTTTTCGGGGAATCTACTATAGTTTATCCATTTACATTTCATTTTACATTATAGTAAAAGCTTAAGAATCCAATTTTATAGGTATGTCAAAAATATTTTGGTCACACACGCTCATTTATTATTTGTCTTGCAAATTCTTTCAATTTACTTAAAAGAATTTTTTCATCATAAGAGATTTCTTTTTAAAGACTTTATAAATTTTACCAGAAATACCTTTTCTAATTCATAAATTTGTAATTTCTATGCAAATTTACAAAGTTTGTGTTGGTGTCGCCCTGTATTGCATTCAAGTAATACAGGCCTAGAAGTTAGACAGCTTGTGATTCTCAGACTAGTCAATCAATTTATATCTTTTACAATCGTACTTTATTGCACATTTCCTACATTTTGACGCCTAATGGAATGTGCAACGAAAAAAGAGCTATTGAGGGCAGGAAAGACCAGTCCGCTGTTATTTAATCTAGAAAATAAGCGATAAAACCGATAGATTAGCAGTTGGGCGGTGCAATTGTGCCTTATCGGCTCCCCAATCTCTACATGGCCCGAAATAGGTATTAGACCCACTCAAACGCTATCGAAATGCCAAAGTGGGCACATCTCGGTCTAGCGGCTCTCCTTCTAATTTCCACCTCCCAGGGGGGAGCTGCGGACATCGATTGGTGGGAGAACGCCTCGCTTTACCAGATATATCCGCGCTCCTTCCAGGACAGCGATGGCGATGGCATCGGGGACCTGAAAGGCATTACTTCGAGGCTGGGCTATCTTAAGGAAATAGGCATCACGGCCACCTGGCTGTCGCCCATTTTTACCTCGCCCATGTCGGATTTCGGCTACGACATCTCCAACTTTTACGACATCGATCCGATATTCGGCACTCTCGACGATTTCGATGCCCTGATAGTGGAGGCCAAGTCGCTGGGCGTAAAGATCATCCTCGACTTTGTACCCAACCATTCCAGTGACGAGAACGTGTGGTTTGAAAAGTCAGTGAATCGCGAAGACGGCTACGATGACTTCTACGTGTGGGACGATGGAAAGCTGAATGAGGAAACTGGTGGAAGAGATCCTCCCTCTAACTGGGTCAGTGTGTTCAGCGGACCCATGTGGACGTGGAACGAAAAGCGCCAGCAGTTCTTCCTGCACCAGTTTCAGGTGAAGCAACCGGATCTAAACTTTACCAATCCAATGGTCAGGGAGCACATGCTGGATGTCTTGAAGTTTTGGCTGGACCGCGGAGTTGATGGATTCCGTATTGATGCAGTTCCACACATCTACGAGCACCGCAATGCAGACGGCTCCTATCCGGATGAACCGGTAAGCGGCTGGAGTAGTGACCCCAACGCCTACGACTACCACGATCACATCTACACCAAGGATCAGCCGGCCACGGTGGATCTCATGTACGAGTGGCGGGAGTTTTTGGATAACTATCGGGAGCAGAATGGAGGCGATTCACGGGTTCTGTTGGCCGAGGCCTATTCCTCCGTGGAGACTCTGAGTGCTTATTTCGGAAACAGCACCCATCAGGGTACCCAGCTGCCCATGAACTTCCAGTTGATGTATCTCAGTGGCTACTCAACCGCAGAGGACGTTGTGGGCTCCATCGACTACTGGATGAATACCATGTGGAAGGAGCACCAAACGGCCAACTGGGTCGTTGGCAATCACGACACAAACAGAGTTGCTGATCGTATGGGAGCTCACGAAGTGGATCTGCTCAATGTGATCGTAAACGCCCTGCCAGGTGCTTCTGTGACCTACTACGGCGAGGAAATCGGCATGTCCAACGTGGACGTGGAGTGTACCGGCGACTCTTGCGAAGATCGCGACGGAGAGCGCACGCCAATGCAGTGGACGGCTGGAAAGAACGCCGACTTTTCTGATGGGCAGTCCACCTGGCTACCCCTAAGCCCCGAATATCAGAGGTACAATGTGCAGACGGAACGCGGTGTTTCCAGATCTTCCCTTAACATCTTCAAGGGTCTCCAGGCTCTTAAGAGCAGTGCCGCCTTTCTTGCGTTCAAGGAGGATGGCGGTTTCTCCTATGAGGCGGTGACGAAACAGGTTCTACAGATCATCCGGTAGGTGGATCCATTCCTCTTCTATAGCTGGTCTTAAGCTTCGGTATCCTACAGCACAAACAAGATCAGCGAGGAGTATCGAATCCTGGTTAACATGGGCAACGATATGGAAATCCTCGATGGGCTGGCCTCCAAAACCTACGAGTATGTGCTGGTCACCGCCTACTCCACACACTATCCGGGGTAAGTTTCACTCCTTTCTAATCTATACCTTTAATTTACATAAAACAATCTGCAGGCAAAAAGCATATCTGTCGGAGAGAATCATTCTCATGCCCTACGAAGCAGTCGTTTTGCGCTGGTTGGCTTAACTTGTACTTATTTTGTTGTATCAAGGAGTACTTGTTTATTTCGCGTTTATCAGTATCGAATGGGGTCCCCCATAAAGATAAGCCCTGTTTCTGACAGAAGTTCGACGCAAGTGTTCCCAGAAATATATTAAACCGAACTTTGAGTGCCAATTACCACATCTAGATTTTATAGACACCCACTTAAGATATAGGCATTTGGCCTTAGCTATCGCTATGGATTAACCTGGATATCAACGGATCGACAGTAATCCTACGAATAATCGACCAATAAATGAAATGACTATTATTCAAGACTTCCAGTAGCCTTACCTATCGCTGTGGATTAAGCTGGGAATCAACGCGATCGACAGCAATCGAACCAATTACCTAATTGACCAATAAATGAGGTGACTATTATTCAGAACTTCCAGTGGGGCGGTGTCTAATCAGTGCTTATAAAACTTGACTTGGGGCCATGGTAAAGATAAGCGCAGTGAGCTGAGTAAGTTAGGGAGTTATACAATACAATTGTGTTATTCTTTATTAAGCACCTATTCTATTAGTTCAAACTGTGCTCAGCACAACCGCTTCCTTGGGCAACAGCAACACGGAGTTGGCAAAGGTGAGGTCGCTAGAAAGATAAAATGGTTAGTGTCTTATGGATAAAGATATTTTGTGGTGTCCAGTGCTTACTTCTTGCGACGCACACTCTTATCATTCACCACCACATACTTCAGTTGTGTGGATAGGGCGGTGAAGACAGAGTCCAAGTTGATCGATTCCACATCATCGTTGATGTTGATGAGGGTGATGTAGGACTTGTAGCCTGCCAGTGATCTGTTGATAAAGAGTCAAGTCAAGATCAAGCACTTGGGTAAATTAAACGACTGTTCCAGCTTACCGCTTGAAGGCCAACACGTTAGGACCTATGGCTGTTACGGAGACATCGCCCTGCTTCAAAGTGGGCTCATCACGCAGAGCTCGGAGCTGCTTGTAGACGTTCAGGTGGCTCAGGGCGATGCCACGCTCCTTCTTCACATTGACCAACTTGTAATTGCTGGCCACCGGCAGCCAGGTGACCGAGGCGTTGGAGAAGCCGGCGTTGACTTCGTCGCTCCACTGGAAAGGAGTGCGCACCGGATCGCGGGTGAGGCGCTCGAACTCCTGTTCGTTTGACTGGCAGGCCTGTGGGTCCACGGTGTCCTCCCAGCTGATCCAAACGTCGGTCATGCCCATCTCCTCGCCCTGGTAGGTCACACTCAAGCCGGGCAGGCCCATGATGATCATGTTGCAGGCGTCGATGCGATCGGCACCCAAACGGGAGCCAATGCGACTCTGGTCGTGGTTGCCGAACACCCAGTTAGCCACCTGACCTTCTGGCATGTTGTCCAGCCAGTTGTGGATTAGCTCCGAGTAGTGGTAGGCATCGGAGCTGTAGCTGATCTTGGCCAGCAGCTCGAAATTGAAGGGGATCTGGGAGCCGAGGTGGGTGCCGTTTCCATAGTACTGCATCAACACTTCCAGGGGGGAGTAGGCCTCGGTGAGCAGGACGCGGTCGTCGCCACCCAACTCGGCGTCTATCTCCTCGATCACATCGCGGAAAGCGTAAACCAGCTCCAGGGTCTCGGGTTGATCGGTGGTGTAGATGTGCTGCAGGTAGGTGTAGTCCTCGGGATCGCTCACTTCCTCGTTCCGGGGTTCATCGGGCCAGTTGCCGTCGGCATCAGCTGGAACTTCGTAGACATGAGGCACAGCGTCGATGCGGAAGCCATAAGCTCCCTTTCGCAGCCAGAAGCGGAGCACATCCTTCATGGCTTCAACGACCTTGGGGTTGCGGTAGTTCAGATCCGGCTGCTTGGCGTGGAACTGGTGGAGATAGTACGCCTGCCGTTGCTCGTTCCAGGTCCACATGGATCCGCGGAACACGGACAGCCAGTTGGTGGGTGGCTGGCGGATGCCGTTGACCACCTTGCCAGTATGCCACACGTAGAAATCCTTGTACTCTTCCTCGCCAGCGGCCGATCGGACGAACCAGTCGCACTCGTCACTAGTGTGGTTTGGCACAAAGTCCAGAATGATCTTGATGTCCAGCTCCTTAGCGCGAGCAACCAGCGCATCGAAATCCTCCATTGTGCCGAAGATGGGATCAATATCTTTAAGATCAGCCACATCGTAGCCGAAATCAGCCATGGGCGAGGTGAAGATCGGGGATAACCAGGTGGCTGTGATGCCGATTTCCTTCAGGTAAGGCAGCTGTTGCGTAATACCTGAGTGCGAGGGTGAAGTAAGATATACACGTAAGTATAACGCTTTCGAACCGCTTACTCACCAACGAGATCTCCCACACCGTCGCCATCGCTATCCTTAAAAGACCTGGGGTATATCTGGTAGAACTGTCCCGTCTTCCACCAGCCAACCTCCGCCAGCGAAGGTAGAGCCAAAGCCAAAAGGCAGGAGAGCACCAGCAACTTGCACATGGCTCCCACTAAATCGATCGATTGCCAATGGCCAGAGGGATTATAAGGTGCCTCTATTTAAGCATACCGCTCACATTGATAACGTGGCGATAAGCCAACCATATAGCAAACTATTTTTGATTAGCTCCGAGGGGCTGGCAGATTTACGATCGCCCGGTACGCCGAATGGGTTCTCATGATACGCAGGCTGTGGAATTTATTGGAGTCGAATTTGCGGCTTCTATAGCCAGCTCACGCCCGAAGATCATGAGACAGATTGGCCGGAAAATGAATCCAACTGCATAGCAGTATCTTATCGGGCCACTGAGTTCTTGGATTTCGCAGGGGGGAGTAATTTATTGGCCTACTTTTGGGACAATAAAAGTGGGCGAATGGGGGTTCAAGGTTGTGATAACTGATTTTGTTAGAATGATTTAATAACTGAATCTATATGAGTGTAGGTCATAATTGAGCTGATGTTGGTAGAAATTTGATTTGATTGGTGTTTTTTGATGTTAGACCACTGTCGTCAGTTAGGACGTCACCAGTCTTAGAAGCACGCTCAAATCATATCGCATACTTTAAATTGCATTACTTTAAGAAATAAATTAAAAGTTAAGTTCAGTTGATGAATCCTTCGGGGAACACCCGTCAATATAAAAAGAAAACAAAAAAGTTTTCAGGAAAATCTATAGAAAAGTTCAAAATATATTCAAAAATATGAAAAAATATCAAAACATTTTTCAAAAGTGTAGGCATGACAGTTTTGGGCGGTATGTGGGCGTTAGAGAAGGCAACATTTGGAAACTTACGCTGCGTCTATGTATCTGAAAGCTGCATGCTTAATCTCAACAATCTAGCTTTTGTAGCTCCTGAGATTGAGGCGTTGATACGGACCGACAGACGGAAAGTGTTTAAAAAGTGTGGGCGTGGCGGCTTGGGCGGTTTGTTGGCGTTGCAAAAAGAATTCTTGGCAATTCGGTAGACAAGACTAATAATAATGTACAAAATATCAAAATATGTACTAGAGAGTTCACGTCGAGTCTCAACTTACTAGATCTTACCGAGATCCCGACGTTCATACGTACATGGCCAGATCGACTCGGCTATTGATCCTGATCAAGAATATCTATCTTTATATGGTCGGAAACGCTTCCATCTGTCTGTAACGTACTTTCAACGAATCCTAGTATACCCTTTTACTCTACGATTATAAATAGTATAAATATACTCTAACGGGTATAAATAGACCTAGTTATGCGCATTATAATCCCGATATTATGCTCAGATATTATCACTATCGGATTCAATTAGAAAGTAACTGCGAATAACTTGTACAAAACATCTTCCATTCTTACTTTGGAGTCAAAGGTCTCATCATATATTTTCCCCAGGTGGCCATACAGGCTTTCGCACCGAAGAGTGAGAATCGATAAGACCTTTAGATTATCGCCGTATATAAGAGACCGATTCCAATCATACCACTTACAGTTAGCAATGACCACTTGGACTAGCTTGTTCGTGCTTTTGGGCCTTGGCCTTCTGGCCGTCGATGCCGCGGCACCGTGGTGGAAGACCGCTTCCTTCTACCAGATCTACCCAAGATCCTTCAAAGACAGTGACGGAGATGGAATCGGAGACTTGAACGGAGTGACCGAGAAGCTGGAGTACCTTAAGGAGATCGGTGTGACCGCCACCTGGCTCTCTCCCTTTCTGAAGTCCCCTATGGCCGACTTCGGCTACGATATTTCCGATTTCAAGGCAGTCGATCCTCTCTTCGGAACGATGGAGGACTTCGAGAATATGGTCTCCCGTGCCAAGGAGCTGGGTGTCAAGATTATTCTCGACTTCGTGCCCAATCATTCCAGCGATGAGTGCGACTGGTTTCTGCGCTCGGCTGCCGGCGAGGAGGAGTATAAGGACTACTACATCTGGCACGCGGGATTCCTCAATGAGGACGGAACCCGTAGCCCGCCCACCAATTGGGTGAGCGTCTTCCGCGGCAGCGCATGGGAGTGGCACGAGGGTCGCCAGGAGTACTACCTGCATCAGTTCCACAAGAAGCAGCCGGACTTCAACTTCCGTAATCCCGTCGTGCGCGAGGAGATGAACAACGTGCTGCGCTTCTGGCTGGAAAAAGGCGTCGACGGGTTCCGCGTGGATGCCATCTATCACGCCTTTGAAATTGAGGCCGATGAGAATGGAAACTATCCCGATGAGCCTCGCAACGAGTGGACCAACGACCCAGATGAGTACGGATACACCCACAAGATCTACACTGTGGATCAGCCAGAGACCCCGCACTTGGTGTAAGTTTGGATGGTTACGGATAAAGCCAGAAACTCAATTAAGCTTTCTTTATAAACGAGTACAGATACGAATGGCGCCAAATCCTGGAGCAGTTCCAGGTTGACAATGGCGGAGATGAGCGGTGAGTCTTGGACTTACCTGTATATCTTTTATACATAAGTTATCATGTTTGCCCTTTTTAGCATTTTGATGGTGGAGACCTGGTCCCCAATTGAAATCGTAATGCATTACTATGGCAACGAAACCGCCGATGGAGCCCAGATACCGTTCAACTTCCAGCTGATAAGCAATCTGCACTTCGATTCCGATGCCTATCACTACGAGTACTTGATTAACAACTGGCTTAATCTGATGCCCGAGGGCAAGAGCGCCAACTGGGTGGTAAGCTTATAAGCAATTAGCAATAAGTTGATAATTTCAATTAAATTTTTTCAAGACTAATGACCAGTAATAACCCACGTAAACAGATCGGTAACCACGACAAGAACCGTGTGGGCTCTCGATTCGGCGCAGATCGAGTTGACCTCTTCAACATCCTGCTGCTCACTCTGCCCGGCTGCAGCATCACTTACCAAGGCGAGGAGCTGGGCATGCTGGACGGCTATGTGTCCTGGAAGGACACCGTGGATCCGCAGGCCTGCAACGGCTTCGAGTCCAACTACATGGAAACCTCCCGCGACCCAGCCCGCACTCCGATGCACTGGTCGGATCAGAGGATGGCTGGTTTCACCACTGGCAGGAGCACCTGGCTGCCCGTCTCCACGGACTATCGCCAGAGGAATGTGAAGACCGAGCGCGGCGTGTCCCTGAGCCACCTGAACGTGTTCAAGCGTCTGCAGCAACTCCGCCAGGAGCCCAGCATTGAGCAAGGATCCACCGAGGTCAAGGCTGTTAGTAACTACGTCCTGGCCGTCAAGCGGTGAGTTCGCGAACCATTCTTTCTTCTACTAGTACATAAGCAACGCTTATTTTTTGAAATACAAATGAAATACCATTCCTTGCAGCCACCTGAGCGGCGACTACGTCTACATCTCTCTGTTCAACATCTTCGACTCCATCGAGAATGTGGACCTGTCCAGTGTGTTCGGCGGCCTGCCCGCCAGCTTCCAGTACGCCCTGGTCACCGAGAAGTCCATCAAGAAGGTCGGCGACCAGTTGTCCGCCCGCAGCGTCACCCTCATGCCCCACGAGGCCATTGTGCTCCGCTCCTCAACAACGGCTTAATTCCGTGAATTAACTCGTGATGAATTAAACACTTTAAAAGCATTATGATTCAACATTATCATTCAGCATTGTTCCCGGCGAAAATTCCCGAAAACACTCGATTAGTACCAGTATTTGGTAGCAATGGGGCACACTGATAGCCAATCGCACAACAATTTATGTACGGTATGTAGATACCGTGTCCATACCGCGAAGAAGGCACACCCATTCTCGTAAAGCATTTATTCCTTGTGATAGAAAATTCAGTTTATTTCGAACAGTTGTACAAGTGCTAAAACTTTATATGTGGTGGTTATTGGGGCGAGATTTGTTTTAGATATGATTTTAGATTTTTATAGTACTCTAAACGCTTTTGTAGCCTATATGCCTACGTTCCTCTTCGCTGATAAGTACTAAGTACCCCTTCCCAAAAGTTCGGCATCGGATCTAACTGTCAACTGAGAGTGGTGCGCCCATGCTCTCACAAGATCTGTGCTGCGCTCTCTTTTTTCTCACGAGCGTGTGCGCAGTTTATAAATAAAAGACATGCATATTGTTCATGGGCGTAGAAAATATTCAAGTTCGGCGGGGGTCTTACAAACTTCAAAAGCTTATTTAACATATATTGTGTAATTTGTGAAAGCGATTCATATAAATCGGATATTTTCACTTGATGCACACTCTCGCTCTCTAACTGTAACGGAATGCAATATGCTCACTTGATATACATACCCACCCCCCAACTAAGCCCATGCACTTTTCTCCCACGCTCTCTGAAATTTATAACGGATAGCCTCGCATAATTCTGTTTGCATTCGATCGCCAGTCGCATTTGTCTTCTGCCCAAGGCAGATGTGCTTTAATCGCACCGCTTTATTAAATATAGACTGACGCAATGATCATACAACGCCTGGCAGCCTTCTTCGCATTGCTGCTCCAGTTACTATGCCCTACTCTAGGTCAACAGTACCCCAACTACCATGCGGACTTTGTGGGCATGGGGGGACAGGGCGCTGACCTCAAGTGGTGGCAGACCGCGGCCTTCTATCAGATCTACCCAAGGTCATTTAAAGACAGCAACGGCGATGGCGTGGGTGATCTGAATGGTGAGTGGAGCGGTTTAATAGGTATGCAACAGTAAGTATAATTCACCCGTTTATCAGGCATCGCGGAGCAACTTCCCTACCTCAAGGAGCTGGGAATCACGGCCACTTGGCTGTCGCCCATCTTTACCTCACCGATGGCTGACTTTGGCTACGATATAGCCAACTTCACTGAGATTGCTCCTATTTTCGGAACAATGGCGGACTTTGAGCACCTGATGGAGGTTGCCAAAAAGCTAGAGATCAAGATCATCCTGGACTTTGTACCAAACCATTCGAGTGATGAATGTGAGTGGTTCCGTCGTTCGGCGGCTCGTGATCCAGAATTTAAGGACTTCTACGTATGGCATCCTGGGCGTATGGAGAACGGAAATCGCCATCCGCCCTCCAATTGGATCAGCGTTTTCCGGGGAAGTGCCTGGCAGTGGCATGAAGGTCGCCAGGAGTTCTACCTGCACCAGTTCGTGAAGAAGCAACCGGATCTGAACTATCGGAACCCAAAGGTCCGGGAGACCATGAGTGTGAGTAGTCATCGCAAGTGCAGAAGTCTTTTACAATGTTAATATTTTTTCGCAGAACGTTTTAAGATTTTGGCTAGGCAAGGGCGTATCCGGTTTTCGCATTGATGCAGTACCCCATGTGTTTGAAATAGCGCCGGATGCGCAGAATCAGTATCGCGATGAGCCGCGAAACTACTGGGACAACGACCCCGACGACTACGGCTATCTGCAGCACATCTACACCAAGGATCAGCCAGAGACCATTGACCTGGTGTACTCGTGGCGGGCGGTGCTGGACGAGTTCCAGCGGGAGCACGGCGGAGAGGACCGCATCTTAATGGCCGAGACCTACTCACCCATCGATATCGTGATGCAGTACTACGGCAATGCGACGACGGAGGGCGCTCAGCTGCCATTCAACTTTCTACTGATAAGCGAGCTGTCCAACTCGTCGAATGCGCACGCCTACGAGGGAACAGTGCTCAAATGGCTGCAGCACATGCCCAAAGGTCGCACCGCCAACTGGGTGGTAGGTGGTCCATGAGAGAGCAAACATTCCATAAGAAACTAATTGACTTTTCCTCCAGTTGGGTAACCACGATCAGCCCCGAGTGGGCTCCCGGTTGGGCAGGGATCGGGTGGACATGCTGAACATGCTCACTTCCACGCTGCCCGGCGCCAGTGTCACCTACCAGGGTGAGGAGCTGGGCATGACCAATGTGTGGATCTCGTGGAAGGACACGGTGGATCCGTCGGCCTGCAACACCAATCCAAGCATCTATCAGCAGTACTCCCGCGATCCGGAGCGAACGCCCTTCCAGTGGACCGATGGCCAGGACGCTGGGTTCAGCAACTCCAGCAAGACCTGGCTGCCCATCGCCGTGGATTACAAGCAGGTGAATGTGGAGCTGGAGCGGCAGAAGCCCCTCAGTCACCTGAACGTCTTCAAACAGCTCTGGCTGTTGAGGAAGCAGTCCCAGACCCTTCAACGCGGCGAAACTGAAGTGAAGGCCCTCAGCGACGCAGTTTTGTCCGTTAAAAGGTGACAGATAATAACAATAGCAATAAAATTCGACAATAACAATAGCTTTCCGCAGGTATCTCGAACGTGATTTCACCTATTTGACCCTCTTGAACATTTACGACGGAGTAGAAACCGTAAATCTGTTGCAGAGTTTCCCAGACTTGCCACCTCAGCTCAAAGTTGTTGTGGTCACAGAGCGATCCCAAGTCAAAGTGGGGTACGTTAATTATTTTGGTCAGTTACAAAAACCCTTTCTTAATAACTCTTCCCGTTTCGTTTTCAGCGATCTCGTGAACTCCACATCGCTGCAGTTGCAGCCCAAGGATTCGCTGGTCCTGCAGACCCCCTCCTCGTATTACAGCTATGTCACCAACGGAGAGACCCGTTTTCTTCCCGTGCTGGGGGCTTATCTATGGTTGGCTCAAGTGGTTCTCTATTTAACCAACCGATGAGTAACCTCCCTATAATTCATCTGCTGGTTAATAATAAAATACTCACAATAAACTCATTCAAAGCACTTGAGCTGTTATCAGCGGAAAAATCGCTGGGGGGCCGTCTATAAAAGCGGGCTCCCGCCAGTTGACTTGGTCAGTCAGACATGCAGTGTTTTAAAACCTTAACCACGATACTTCTCTTGGGGCTCCATTGTGCCCTTGGGAGGGCAGCAGCAGTGGATCTCGACCTTGAGAGAGCCACCACAGCCACAGACACCACTCGAGATTGGTGGCAAGTGGCGCAATTCTATCAAATCTATCCGCGCTCCTACAAGGACTCCGATGGCGATGGCATTGGCGACCTGCAGGGTATCATCTCCAAGTTGGACTACCTGAAAGAGATTGGGGTGACTGCAACCTGGCTTTCGCCCATCTACAGTTCGCCCATGGCTGACTTTGGATACGATATATCCGACTTCTTCGACATTCAGCCGGAGTACGGCACCCTGGCCGACTTCGATGAACTGATCGCCGAGGCTAAGAAGCGGAACATCAAGATCATCCTGGACTTTGTACCGAACCACTCGAGCGATGAAAACGTCTGGTTCCAGAAGTCTGTCAAGAGGGAGAAAGGCTATGAGGACTACTACATGTGGCACGATGGCTACGTGAATGCTTCGACTGGGCAAAGGGAACCCCCGTCCAACTGGCTTCAAGCCTTCCGCGGAAGCGCCTGGGAGTGGAACGAAGAACGCCAACAGTACTACCTCCACCAGTTCGCCGTCAAGCAGCCGGATCTCAACTACCGCAACCCCGCCGTGGTTGCCCAGATGAAGCGGGTGCTCACCTACTGGCTGGATCGAGGAGTGGCTGGATTCCGCATGGACGCGGTGCCGTGGTGCTTTGAGGTGTTGCCCGACGCCGATGGTCGGTATCCCGACGAGCCGTTGAGTGGCTACACCGATGATCCGGATGACTCCTCCTATCTGAAGCACATCTACACCCAGGATCTTCGCGAGACTGTGGAGATGGTGTTTCAGTGGCGCACTCTGCTGGATGATTACCAGCGCATCCATGGCGGCGACACTCGAGTTATCATGGTGGAGACATATTCCGGCCTGGACTATGTGATGCAGTTCTATGGCAATCGTACCACCAAGGGCGCCCAGATGCCCTTTAACTTTCAGTTTATTATTGGCGGCAATGGAGACAAGAACAACACCCTGCTCAATGCGACGGGATTTGTGAAGATAATCAACAGCTGGTTGAGCCAAATGCCGCCTGGGCAGACGGCAAACTGGGTGGTGAGTGATTCAGGACATTTCCAGCGCTTGTATGTTTATATTATTCGATATTAAACTTCGAATTTTTCATCTACAGATGGGTAATCACGACCAGCGGCGAGTGGGTAGTCGCTACGGCCAGAACCGCATCGACTTGATGAACATGCTGCAGATGTTCCTGCCCGGCGTCAGCATCACCTACCAGGGAGAGGAGTTGGGAATGACTGACCTGGACATCAGCTGGGAGGACAGCCGGGATCCTGCAGCCTGCAATTCCAACTCGGATATCTACGAGCAGTTCACTCGCGATCCCGCCCGAACTCCATTCCAGTGGAGCGATGAGGCCAACGCAGGGTTCTCCACGAACGCCACCACCTGGCTGCCAATCAATCCGAACTACGTTACCGTAAATGCAAAGTCGGAGAACTCCACGAGTCCCAGCCACTTGAGCCTGTACAAGCAGCTGGTGGAGCTGCGAAAGTCCAAGACTCTGCAGATGGGCGCCACTCGATATGCGAATGTGGGCGACAATGTGGTGGCCATCAGGAGGTATCTGAGTGGGGAACCCACCTACGTGCTGGTGGCCAATGTGCTGGACTCCAGTGTCTCCGGAATAGACGTAGCCAGTGCCATATATGCGAGTGGTAGCTACAAAATCAAGCTGCTCAATCCGCAAGCCAATGCCGCAGTTGGGTAAGTCTCCTCTTCCAACCTTTAGTCAAGTCGTCAGCCAACTTTTCTTTTCCCTCTCCTCATCACAGCGATAGCGTCACACTGAGCAACTTGGCGTTGAGCCCTTACGCAGCCCTGATTTTGGAGTCTGTCTAGAGTTTATGTAATCATAATCATAAGTTTGAGGAAGAACAATGCGTATACATAAAGTACATCGATAATGTCTTGCTATATGGGCGCATAAGTCATTGGGGCGCACGGCATTGAAAAACTTTTCAATTTTAAGGTCGCGTGCTGGGCCAACTTATTATAAATTATTAAGCAACTTTGTCCTGGTTCAAGAGTCACAGTCGCGCGGGCTGCTGGGGGAGCAGCAGAAATTCCATTAGACGTGATTGATAAGACACACAAATCACGCATACGCAGCGTTGCTGCCTCGCAAACCAAAAGACCGCAGAGGTGATTCGGAAATGAGGCAAACATCAGCGGGAGCGCGTGGGCATGGCCTGTGTGGGTGCCTGGGTGAGCTGGTGGTTTTCACCTACGCAGTTAGCAGCCGAACGGAATAGGAGCCTGTTTGGCATTTAATTACCAATATAAAAAATGGGAAATTGTGGAGAAACTATGCCTGACGTCCTAAATGACTTTAAACTTCTGTGCCCTTCTGGGCTCAAAAGCCCAGTTGAGTAGTGCAGAGCTCATCACCTACAATAGTCCTGTCAGCAACTTTGGTGGCAACCCTTCCCCAAAAACGTCAGCAGCACCAAAAACATCAATCCGCAAAACATCAGGTACGTGAGAGCCATTCAAATGAGCGAGTGCTGGCAACCCGTTGGACGCCAGTTATGAGCCATGTCTGCGGTGCAATTAATGAGCGGCCAGTGATTAAATGAACTTTCAGGCTTCACCTGGCCAGCTCTGCAGTTGGCACGTGCCAAATCAGAAGCGAGGGAGCGAGGGAGCGATGGAGGGAGGGAGCGAGGGGAGCGCAGCTCGTTAGGACCTGGTCCGAAATCAAACTCAAATATTAGCCTCGCACTATTAATATGCAAACGCTGTCGGAGCCTCGAATACGTTGCCCTAATGTGCAAGGGTGTGCGGGATGGGGATGCTTTGCTTGCTTCCGGCTTTTTGGGCCATGAGTCCTTGCAGATTACAGCGGGCTTAATGCGTTTTAAAAGTTTTCCAATCGGAAGGAGAGCAAACTTCTGTGCGACCTGCGTAAATCTGCGAAAATCGTGGAAATCATGAAAATAATATTAAATGTAATCATCTCAGTACCTTCATCAAACATTGTAGCTCAGACTCTTTGGGAAATTAACCTCATTATCTGCCCGAAAATGAAATGCACAAAAGGCAGAAGGCTTTGTGCGTCTGGACTGCCACCTGGCCTCCGACTGGCTGTCCTGCGGTTTCCATTCTCACAATTTCATTCGTTTTTTTAAGGTTTCTGGTCACGTGCGTAAGGGTAAAGTGGCCCAGCCACTCGGCGCCGTGGCTGTGACCTTTTTAATGGGCTGTCAGGTCACGCAGCCATTTACAGGATTCCATTTTATTCATTTTTGTGGTTCCACCAGAGCCAGCAGAGACGGCTAATTTTTCAGCGCCAAAGCGATATCGAACCCATCGAATGGCCGATTTCCCAAAGGGAGTAAATAATTTGTAAAGATTTCGAGGCAAGCGCTTTGTGCATTTGCTGCGTAACTCCATCTCGTCACTCCTGCCGCACAAGTCGTAAATGCCAAGTTGTTGTGTTAGGCGGATCAAGGCATTCTACCCAGCTTCTTAGCCAACTCAAGTTGGCCGCAAAGGTGTGTGTGTTTAGCGAAGCAAGGCTCTAAAAGTGACGCACCACACTTGATGCCCGGGCAGCGCAAGACGTCTGCCAATTACCATGTGTAAACGCAATTTAATTATTAATAACGCAATTGAAGTTCTGCCCTCGCCTGTCCTCCAAGAGTAAATACTGCAGGGCTGCTTCACGAATTTCCGAGATTGGCAATAAATCGTGCTATGAAAACCTCCCCATCTATCTGGCTGAACTTGGGAAGCCGCTCTCGACTTTCCCGACTTCAAAGTGCCTCGCGATGCTGGGGGCCAGGCCAACATCCCCGAATTTAGGCCTAGTCTATATGGTGTATGGTGTGTACATTGTGTGTAGCACACACAATGTTGTACAGCAAATACTTAGCGGGCCGGAACTTTTGCTTGACTTTAATTTGTGTGTAAACACTTTAAATGCCGAGCCCGCCGCCGAGTGGGAATTAAAAGAGTATGCCGGGCACTCGAGCTTATCCGGGTGGGGTAGATTTCAGGATATGTGCGCTGTTTCTGGGGTGGAGTGGGTTGTTTGTCTGGTTTTTCACTTATATATTTATTTATGCAAGCCACGGCATATTTGCTTTGAGCCGAAGATAAATACCGATTGAGTGGCCTGACTCAGTCTGACTTAAGTGCGCCTGCTGGGAATCAAACCGCCATTTAATCAAACCGGGAAGAGCTGCTGCTGCTCAATACCAAGGCCTCGCCGGCAGCCAGACTCAATCCGGTGACCTCGAACAGGGAGCTGAAAAGATGTGCGCCCAAATGTCAGAACGGCCGTGCAGATGGTCAGCTTGGGGACGAGATGCCTTACCCTTCCGCCTTCGAGGACTGCAGGCTGCGGATGAGGAGCGTCAGGTGGGTGGGCAGCGTCTTGTCGAATTCGTATAAGTCCACAGTGACACCCTTGCTGGCAAAGTTGGCCACATAAATTATGGATGCAGAGCTGGAGATGTATCTGCAAAGGTAATGGTTCGGTACGTACTTCAAGGAATTTCTGCAGTATACGTGGCTCCCGGTGCACAACTTTTGCAGAAGAAGCTACTTTTGTGCGGTGTGCATGTTTCATTTCTGAAGTGTGACTTACTGGTTCACCAGTTTAAATGGCTCACCCCACATTTTGCGCCACATAGTTGCCAGGTCTTACTCACCGCTTCACCACAAACACATTCTCGCCAACCACTCCGTATTTGGTGGATCCATTCTGCAGCGCCAGCGAAGATTTCCGCAGCTCCACCAGAGCCTTGTAGATCTTCAGATGAGAGCGCTGAGCCGCCTGCTCCGCGTCCACATTCAGCGTTTGGTAGCCTGCTGCCAGTGGCAACCAAGTCTTGGATGCAGTGGAGAACCCGGCGTTGGTGCCACTCGTCCATTGGAAGGGAGTCCGTGAGGGATCGCGTGTGAACTGCTCGTAGATGTCCGAGTTGGAGTTGCAGGCCGCCGGGTCCTGGGTGTCTTCCCAGCTTATCTCGCCATCGGTCATACCCAGCTCCTCGCCCTGATAGGTGACACTAGCTCCGGGAAGGACCATGACCAGCATGTTCATGGCATCCGCGTTGGCAGTTCCATATCGACTGGCTGCCCGACGCTGGTCGTGGTTGCCTATTACCCAGTTGGCGACGCGTCCGGCGGGCAGGTTGTCCAACCAGTTGTCCACTGCCGTTTTTATGGATCCGGCAGAGACACCATCGCTGGCCAGTACCGTAATCAGGTTGAAGTTAAAGGGCAGATGGGCACCGGCCGTTGAGCGATTTCCGTAAAACTGCATTGTGTAGGCGGGCGGGGCATATGTCTCGATGAGGAGCACCCTCGAATCGCCACCATGGATACGCTGGTAGTCATCCATCACCACGCGCCATTGGTAGGCCATGTCAATGGTCTCCGGCCGGTTTTCGATGAGATCGCTCTTTAGGTACTTGCGGTCCTCGACGTCGTCCGTGAGCCCGCTAAGTTCCTCATCGGCATACTGACCATCTGCATCCGGCTCGATCTCGAAGAGCACTGGTACGGCATCGCAGCGGAAGCCGGCAACGCCTTGGTCCAACCAGTAGCGGAGCACTCGCTTCATCTGCTCCACGACCAGGGGATTGCGATAGTTCAGATCAGCCTGCTGCACCGCGAACTGGTGCAGGTAGTACTGCTGACGTTTCTCATTCCACTCCCAGGCACTTCCTCGGAAAGCTTGCAGCCAGTTGGAGGGGGGTTCCCTCGCTCCAGTAGTGGAATTCACCTTGCCATCATGCCAGACGTAGTAGTCCTCGTAGCCCTTCTCGCGATTCACTGATTTTACAAACCAAGAGTTCTCATCACTCGAGTGATTGGGCACGAAATCCAGGATGATCTTCAGGTCCAACTCGTTGGCCCGCTTGATGAGAGCCCTGAAGTCATCGAGGGTTCCGTATTCCGGCTGAATGTCAAAGAAGTCGGATATGTCATAGCCAAAGTCCACCATGGGCGAGGTGAAAATGGGCGACAGCCAAGCTGCCGTAACGCCCAGATCCTTCAGGTACTCCAGCTTACTGGTGATGCCATTTAAGTCTCCGATCCCATCGCCGTCGGAGTCCATGAAGGATCGCGGGTATATCTGATAAAACTGCGCATTTTCCCACCAGTCCTTTGTGGCTGTCGTCGACGTCGTGGTTTCGCATGACCCGCTTGGATGTGCCAGTATAACCAGCCCACAGACCAGCAAACCTAAAAGATCTAACCGCGTTCTGTGCATGTTTATTACTTGATGGCTAGGACTCAACGCTGTTCCTTTTATACGATTAAGCTGAAGCGGGATTACCAGAGCTTATATGATAACCCCGCATCGAGTGGGACATGCATTTGCCAAAACACTTGAAGGAGCACTTGAGCTGGAAATTTTCCAATAACAGTTCCGGAGTAGGCAATGTGAATGCTCCACAATCGATTAGGCGGACTCACCCCAGACCAATCAAAACGTTTCCACTTTGAGGTGTTATCTAACCGGTCGAGTGGACAGTCTATAAAGGGGCGAGCAATTGCCGGCTGCTTACACAAGGTATTTTGATTTGACCCAGGCAATGAAGCTTCTATCGCTGCTAACACTTCTGCTACTAGCCTTTGGCTCGAACGAGGCATGTCAAGTGCAGGACTCCTCCAGTGAAACGGCCAAGGACTGGTGGCAAACTGCCCAGTTCTATCAGATCTACCCGCGCTCCTTCAAAGACTCCGATGGCGATGGCATTGGCGATTTGAACGGCATAACCAGCAAGCTGGAGTATCTCAAGGACTTGGGCATAACAGCTGCTTGGCTATCGCCCATCTTCAAGTCGCCCATGGTCGACTTTGGCTATGACATATCCGATTTCTTTGACATCCAGGCGGAGTACGGAACTCTCGAGGATTTTCGCGCACTGATTAAGCGAGCCAAGGAGCTGGACCTGAAGATAGTGCTGGACTTTGTGCCCAACCATTCGAGCAACGAGAGCGAATGGTTCCAAAAGTCGGTAAGAAGGGAGAAGGGGTACGCGGACTACTACGTGTGGCACGACGGAAAGCTCGATTCCACCACTGGGAAGAGGCAGCCGCCGACCAACTGGCTGCAGTACTTCCGCGGAAGTGCCTGGGAGTGGAATGAGGAGCGTCAGCAGTACTACCTGCACCAGTTCGCAGTGCAGCAGCCCGATCTGAACTATCGCAATCCGCTGGTCGTGGAGCAGATGAAGCGAGTGCTGCGCTACTGGCTGAACGAGGGCGTCTCTGGCTTCCGGTGCGATGCACTGCCTCCGCTTTTTGAGGTCCTGCCCGATGGCGATGGCCAGTTTCCGGATGAGCTTGTGAGTGGGGCCACCGAGGACACAGATGATCGCAACTATCTGACCACCACGTACATCGAAAATCAGCCAGAGACCATCGATATGGTTTACCAGTGGCGTGCTGTGCTTGATGACCACCAACGCATTCATGGGGGCAACTCCAGCGTCTTGCTCATAGAGACGTACTCCCCCGCCTGGTTTACCATGCAGTTCTACGGGAATAGAAGCACCGAGGGAGCCCACTTACCCTTCAACTTCAACCTGATCACGGTGATGGAGCAAAAGGGCATTTCTGCGGCCAGCGTGCAGGAGGCAATCGACTTGTGGCTGAAGAACATGCCCGCAGGTCGCACACCGAATTGGGTGGTAAGTGGGGTCTTTAACTCGCGATCCGTATCCGGCGCTAATCCTTACAAGTCTAGCTAGGAAACCACGACAAGCGAAGGGCAGCTAGTCGGTATGGAACAGAGCACATCGATGGCATGAACATGCTGGTGATGATCCTGCCGGGAGTAAGTGTCACCTACCAGGGCGAGGAGATCGGCATGACCGATGGAGAGATCAGCTGGGAGGACACTGTCGATCCGTGGGGTTGCAACTCGAACCCGGACATCTACGAGCAGTACACCCGCGATCCAGAGAGAACCCCTTTTCAGTGGACTGGAGGCTCTAATGCCGGGTTCACGAATGGATCCTTCACCTGGTTGCCACTGGCTGCTGACTATGAAACGATAAATGTTGAAAGGGAACTGAGCGATGGCCTCTCACACTTGAAGATATACAAGGCTTTGGTGGCTCTACGTAATTCATCCAAAACTTTGCAAAATGGGTCCACAAAGTACCAGGCACTTTCCGAGGACGTCTTCGTAGTTCAGCGGTAAGTGATGGCATAATTTTGCTGATTGGTAGTTGGCTTATATTGCTGCTCCTTCGTAGATCTTTGGCCAATTCAGCCATTGTGCTCGTCATAAACTTTGGATCGGTGGCCAAAAGCGTTGACTTAAGCAAGTTTGACAAAAACCGTACCGAGAGCATGCTGCTGCTCATCAGAAGCATTGATTCCACCAAAAAGGAGGGGTAAGTGGAGCAGAGACCTTAAGCTTATCAAACTATTTAACATGTACTTATGGTCTTTTGAACAGGACACAGTACGATCCGAAAGCCTTGAGCCTAGATCCCTCGGAAGCCTTAGTCTTAAGCAGCGAATAAAACACGTTTTTAAATGGAAATTTTTGTTGATTCTTTGATATTCGTCTTGCTTTATTCGTAAATACATATGTGGCCAAAAAACATTTAGCGTTTTGCTGATAATAGTATTATTAACTATACACCAAGTAACTAATTCGAAAGACATTCAATTCGTGGATGTCCCGTGGGATTCTCATTAACGACTATGTACACTGAACACACAGACATGGAAAACGAACAAATTTTGCTATTTTTTGTACCCCATGTTTTGGCTAGACATGAATTGCATTACTTGCGCTCTATAACAAATATTTAACTACACGATAGCACATTTCAAGTTGAAAGCTGCTCACAATTAACGTAATTAACGTTAATACCAATCCAAATCGAGGTGTCGCTACGACTAAAAAATTCTCCGTAAAATACCATACATATGTACATCTTAGTTGGACAACAATTAAATCTACCATGTTGATGGGCTCAAACAACACAATAAATGCAATTGAAATTGTTCTAACTAGCTGCTACATTGCAAAGGGGCTGAGTCCCAGCCCTTTTGGAACATAATTGCGCCCTCGAAAAGTCCTCTTCATCCAGTGCTCACTGTACAGCGTTGCCTCACTTAGCCTATAAGTTTCATTTACTAATCAGATAGCTGGTAAGTTGCTTCGGTTGTAGAAAAAACATTTTTGAAATTATATCACATTTTCATTTTTTTGTTTCTTTTGGAACGCTTTGAAACAATGCTTAGCAATCTAGACAAGCTTAAGTACTAAACACTTATTGTTAGATTAAGGTTGACAATTTACGTTAAATATACCTTTTTAACTCTTGTGCTGAAGTGTAAAATGGAGAAACACATTTGTTTTGGGAAGAGTTGCAGAGATTTCTGATCAGCCGACTTTAATTCGCTCCATCCTTAAAATCCGAAGAACGCCCCAGGTGTCACAGAAATATCTTTGCTATTGAGAAACATGGTTGTATCGTCATCGAGTAACTTATGTATAAGAACATTTAGAGATGGCCTAACCCGGGCTCAAGCAAATTAAAAAGCAAACAAACATGGCAAGTGCTGTGGAACAAATACGCCTTCTAAGATCCGGAGATCCGTCTGATTCTGGACAACGCTCGGGTCAGCAGACACTGTCCACTTACGTATGGTTGAGACAATCCGGAATCTCCGGTGGCAGCTAAACGGGAATCGCGGCGCGCTTCTTTGCCGCACTACCGCTGCCGGTGCTGCCGGTGTCGCTGGAAGAGCTTTGTGTTCCATGTTGCTGCGGCGGATGTTGCTGCGGCGGATGTTGCTGCTGCTGGAGCTCGGCTTGTTGTCGCTGCTGCTCCTTCAGCAGCTGCTGCTGCAATTGCTGCGCGTTTAGCTATAAGTTTGTCTGCAGGACCGGCGGACGTTGACTCCCGTTTCCTTGCCCATTGTTGGGCGCCACGGACATGGTTTCGCTGACATCGCCCGTGGCCAAAGGAGTTGTTATCGTAGCCACCGGCGCCTCTGTTGCTGCTTCGCCAGTTGCCGCTGTTGTTGTTATGGGTGCTGCCGGGCCGCTTATGTGATTGTTGGTCGATGTGATGGCAAAGGCCACGGCTGGCTGGCCATGTTGGCGCTGATTGATTTTATTATTGTTGGCCACGACTTGCTCCGTTGCCACATCGCCGTCGCCGTCGCCATCACCATCGCCATCGCCATCGCCAACGCCATCGCCATTGCTGTTGCTGTTGCTATTGCTACTACCATTGGTGTTGCTGCTGCCGTTGCCACTGCCCTTATCTGTGGGCGTGGTCGTGGCCGTTGTGGTATTGTTTGGCACATATTGATCGGCATATGGTATTTGATTGTACGCGTTGATGTCCAGTGACGTGATTATACTGGAAATTGTCTGAGTGGCCATTTCGCACAATTTCTTCGTCTTTAGCGAGTTTTCTGTAATTATGGGTGTAAAATTGAGTTTCATTCTGTATACCAGCCATTTTAAAGTAACCAAATTTAAGTACGATATACATTTAATTGGATAACCTAACTCTTTCTTAGATAAAACATTGAAACCTTTTCACAAAAACTAAAAATACAATACGAATACGAATAAGAGAGGCAGAGTTCTCAGTACAGTTTTCGCAAAGGACTTACAAAATAATATTCTATTTTAATTGGTATAAATGAATGCAAAATGCGATTAATAGATTGTCAGCAGATAAAATAAAAGCACTTTCAATCATGCGATTAATTGATCGACTATAATTAATGAGGCAAGCAAACGTTATAAATAAATAAAAAAATAGAGTTTCATTCCGTATACCAGCCATTTTAAAATAACTAAATTGAAGTACGACATACATTTTATTTGATTGCCTAACTCGTTCTTAGATAAAACAGTATCTTAATTCATTGAAACATTTTCACAAAAACTAAAAATATAATACGAATGCGATTAAGAGAGACAGTTTTCGCAAAGGACTTGCAAAATAATATTCTATTTTAATTGGTATAAATGAATGCAAAATGCGATTAATAGATTGTCGGCAGACAAAATAAACGCACTTTCATTACGCGATTAATTGATCGATTATAATTAATGAGGCAAGCAAACGTTATACCTCTTAATTGCACTATTCAACGGGAAATTACATGTGTCAATATTACGTTTGCTCCACACAAAGTGTGTGTATGGTGAGCGCAATGTTTACCGACCCAGGACACGTTAACCGATACCCCTTAATTACTGACCTGTGTTCGTGGGAGTGATATGCTTCTGGATCTTCTCCTCCTGGGCACAGGTGGCGGCGGTCACCACGGCGGCGGCCATCATGGACGAGGGTCCGGTGCCAGCGGTGCGGTGCATGTTGCCGTAGCGCGGCGGCATCATGCTCTGCCGCACGTTGCGCTCGGGGCGTATGAGTATTATGTACAGCTGCAAGGACACAAGCGCACGGTCGTGTGAGAAAAGCAGCGCGTCTTTCCCATTAGGTTAATTTCCCGTCCGAGGCATTAATCGAACGGCCCATTGTGCGTAATGGCTATTTGGGGCGATATCCAATTTTGTGGTTTTGTGTTCCCACAAGATGGCTTATCTTACGGCTTTGATTAGAAGTCAGTGCGTGACTGCCGCGCCCACTTCCAAGTCCCATTCCCAATCCGAATCCAAGTATCATTAGCTACTTCCTACTCCGATGGCCAGGCGTAATTGTGGTCCACAGCAAACCCAGCGCCTTGCGCCGCTTACACAGAGAATAAAAGCACCACAAATTAACTTACGTGCACTTCTGAATAAAGTAACCTGAGCAATGTTATAATCGGATGAAATCTTAATACGCTCTCGCAACAATTCATAATTTAATGATAAATTTGAAAAAAAAAAAACACCAACTTTGAGATTAACTTTCACACCCATTTGAACACCCAAAAATATTGTTTTAAGTAAAATCCATTCTATATATGGGCACTGAGCTACAGCTACAGTTGCACCATCCATTAGTTGCAACATAGGGAAAATTTCGAGCAGTGCTCCACACGTTTCCACTTGCGATACGGTGGCTCATTTCCGCAGTGCCTTGACATTGCTTGGCAGCCATTTGGTCGCCCCTTGTTATTGTTTTGCCCGCAAACAAACGCGGCAAGTTGGAAAACAAACTAGGGCAGCGCCGCGTGGCAGTCGGAAGTCGAAAGTCGGAACGGCTTGCCACCTCGACGAGCCTGTGTCCTTCGGAAGGAGGCGGGCTGCCGGCACCTTTGCGCCCGGGCCTTAGTTGGTTGCCTCTTAGTCCGGCGATCGCAGTTGTTGTGGGGCATGCCGCATTCATGGCACCCTTTATTGTTTTCCCTTTGGCCAGACACAAGCAGTTGTAAATTGCATTTTTATGGCTCGCGGTGCACGGTGCACGGTGCGGTTCGTGTGCTTGTGCTCACTGTACTTGCCGCGTACGCATTACAGTGTGCCCTCCTAACCGTGCATTAGGTGACATCTGATAGCGGGCAGTTGGCCCGGTTAGCAGCCACTGGGCCGAGAAGTATGATCCCCTCCGACATTCAATAATAGCCTGTGCCGAGTGTTTACGGCTCTCCAGCTCCCCGGGGTTTTGTGCTACTTTGCACCCGGAACATGCAGACAGGCCATAAAATGTAGCTCCGCTTCGAGGCCAAGAACTATGACGTGTGCGACTGTGGGAGCCCCGCTCCGTTGCTAATCAAGCTTCTGGCTGATTTACCATTGCTAGCTCCTTGCTCTGAAATGGCGAAAACACTGGGGAAAAGTCCTTCCAGGCACCTTAAAGTAACGCATAAAAACCTTTGGAAGTAAACGGAAAGGTGTTTTCCTTCCAAATGCCTTAAAATGAGGAGGCTTCACATTTTTCTCAATAGAGCTTTTGATTATCCGATCTGGCTGTCATGCTTGCCATATTTATGCAAGGAATAAACAAACAAGCTATTTGACATTTTCCTATAATAAATCCAAGCAAAACTTTTCCCTTTTTGCCTTTTCCTTTGCTGTAAAAGGTCGTGTTTCTGTGTAATGAAGTTATCAGTGCCTGAAAGTAAACTACCTCCCTGGCGTTCAATATGGGGGCAACCAGCTGCTCCTCCCTGCTGCACCATCTAGTCCATGAACCCAACTGGCTGGCTATATTTGGCTTGTCTGGCAGTTTACTTGCATCTTAATGGCTAATAGCAGGGCGTATTAAAAAATATGTTGGCATAAAGGCAGCGCGCCTTTGGGAGGAGATCATGACCAGTTCAGCTCCGTGGAGGACGTGGCTTGTTGACATTTAAGCTTCTTCTGGGGAGAACGTAATGAAATGGCCAGGGAACAAGGACCGAGTACCAAGGAGCAAGGACCAAGGACTATGGAGCAAAAGGAAGGGTGGGCTTTAAATATGGCAATATGGTTGGAAGCAACACATCGAAATTGATGCAGTCGGTTGCTGAATTACCAAACCCTGGGCGCCCGGCTGTCATCATCTTCCGTCTTATTGCATTTTAATGAACCACTCGTCCCTGCGTCCCCAATGAAATGGAATAAAATCGCCGATGGCC